TCGAACATATCTATTTTTGTAAAATAAAAAGTTATCTGCTAGTGCCTATAGGGTCTAGCCGTCCTATATAGTCTTAGACTGAAGATGGACGTAAATTAAATCAATCAATCAATTACAAAGAGAATTAATTTACTTATAAGTAGTGAGCGAGTGAAGTAGTGAGTGATTTGGAGAGAAACTATTTAAAAAAAAAGATTGGTTTGTAACTTGAAGGGAGGGTATACGAGTATGGTATGGTATGGTATGGTATAGTTTGGTGGGAGGGGATGGGATAGGATGGGATGGGATGGGATGTGAGGTGAGGTGAGGTGTAAGGTGTAGGTTTTATAAGTTTATACTCGAGTAGTATGTATGTACTAGGTAGGTAGTAGCAGTCACGGTAATAATAAGTAGCTAGAACTCGGAAGAGAAGAGGATAGATAGGGTTTATATAGCCAAACCAGTCAAGCCAACCACTTGGCTCAGGGCAGTTGTTGTTTTGTTTTGTTTGTATTGTTTCTTGTTTTTAGTTCTGGGTTGTTGGGCTGGGTTATTGATGGGTTGGGTTGGGTTTATTTTATTCTGTGCTAGTTGATTAGTATGTTGTGAGGTGTATTGTGAGGTAAAATGAGATGAGATAGAGAATTAGTAGTGGAATAGAGAAGGAAAAATGAAGAGTATAAGCATAAGGAGTATAATGATATAGAGATTATAGGATTAGAATTAGAGTCTTATTATCACTTTTCTTTTTGCATATTTTTATATCTATTTATATTATTCTTTTATTATTATATTTGAGTTAATAAAGATTCTTATAAATATAGATAATTATATATTAATCTAAAATTCGATATATACTCGAATGCTATTAATATATAATAATAAATAAAATATACACTAGCACTAGTAGATTGACTTTAATTGAAAAATCATTGATGTAATAGTACTACTAGTAGCTCTTACGACGAGAATTGAATGACTATTCTTACTTCTATATCGTCTAAACTCAACTAACTAGATTTGGAGCGAACCGCGTTAGTCTAGCTACAGATCATATCAGACGGATGAATAAATGATCTAATTGGAAGAATTCTGAAAATGGAGATTATTCTGGTTCTATTTTTATACATTAGCATTTCAAACTAGATTGTGTATTGTCACGGGTTCACTACCCGTTCCTAGCTAGCTCGGATGGATGCCTTAGGCATCCATCCACCATATAGTCGTCATCGCTCCGCGCGCCTCCTTCTCTCCTCGTCGAATATCATACATCTTACCTAGTACCTGTACCAGCCCCGTGATATGTATACTAGTAGTCTGGCTTTGTCCAAATACGGTTCGCTCGAAACCCAGTTAGTTGAGTTTAGGCGGTGTATCTCTCTACTCATACATCCATCTCTATATCTCAGTCATTCTCTATATACGATAGAATAGAATACAATTAATTTACTATCCCTTTCCCTATTCCTGATATATATCATACCCTTCCACCCACCACCGAAAACCTTCAGTCATTACTATTACCATTCCCTGTTTCTATTACCATTATCATCACTATTACCATCCCCCATTTCCTCTATCCTCATCACCACTACCATACACTTCATTTCACTTCACTTCACTTTTATCCCCTTCATCAATATCCTCATCACCGCTATCACCAACTCCCCATCTAATTATCGTCATTTCCATTACCATCTTTATTGTTATTCACCATCACCATCACCAAGCCCCCGTGACCATCTAATTACCATCATCCCATCATTGCCACCTCACCTACTAGTATTATCACCGACCTCCATTTCCTCTCCTCTCTTCATCACCCACCTATACTCATCACCAATACTCTCACCCCCTCTCCAGCCAACACCACCTGTGCACCTAGGTCACCACCCCTCTGAGACTACATTCATTACATTAGATGTCGAAAAAAAAACAGAATCTCAGTTGAGTCAAATATAGATTGTTTTATATACTTATACTACTAGACGGCACAGGAACGATAGCACAGAGAAAAGTAAAAAAAAGTAAAAGTATAATCACATAAGTTCATTAAATTCTTAAAATTCTTAAATTCTCAAGTCCTAAACTTCTTAACCAACAATATTTGATATTTGATATATAAGATTTGAAATTTACCAAAAGTATAAGATGAGCGTGCTAGTTAGTGCCTATCGAGTATTTATTCTCTTCAACCCCATAACCCCATAAATTACAAAATACACACCGAGTACAATACACCTTTCCTCATAAATCTATCATCCATCCTCCAACCTCCCTATTCCGCGCCGGCCGTATTCAATTTTGGTATTTCCATTAGATCAGACTATCTGATCTAAATTCCCTCCTTTCCTTTCGCATGCGCCAATTTTATTCCGAGACTAGTCCAGACCAGTCCAGTTCAATCCAATCCAGTCCAATCCAATCCCAATAAGTGCGGTTACTTTACCGCACTATCCCATTATTAAATTCCAAAATTCATTATCTCATTGTTGTTCCCCCTTCCCTTTCCCTCCGTCACACTCAAAATTAAAAATACCAATTTCCCTCCAAATCCGTATTCAGCAAACTATCAAAAAACATCGTATCCGGCTGTAACCCCGACCAATCTTCAAATGGCTGTTGTTCTGGTTCCAACGGAGGGAATTGACTACTCTTGAACGAAACGGTGGGTTGAGCTGCCCATGGACAACTCAATGGATCGAATTGAGTTTGAGCCTGTTGAGATTCCGTAGGAGTCATATTAGATATCAGGGATGGGGTAGTATTCGATGAAGAAGAAGAATTTGTGTTGAGATTAGGGGTTGCAGATTGCGTTGTATTAACCGTGGGAGTGGAAGATGATGCTGGTGTACGTGCGATTGAAATAGTTCCGAAATATGGAATGGTGAGACGTAAATTTCCACTGGTGCTGGTGGATGCGAGGAGGGTTTTGATGACATCTACGCTTTGAATGGCCATGACGTCTTCTTCTGCGGCGCATTCGTGCATGGCAGCGAGGACGGTCTCCACGAGTTCTTTGTCGGATCGCTTTTGCTCTTGGACTGCGATGGTATCGCCTCCTGCCGGAGAGGTCTCGAGGATACTCAGGAGAAGGGTTACGCATGCTGTGAATGCTCCGAAGTCGACAACTTTGCAACAGAATGATCTGGTACCTGATCGTCTGATAGTGAGGTAACGGAATATGATTTCTCGAGATGATTTGAGACATGTGAATTTACTATATTCGTATCGACGTTCTGTGGCAGCTCGAACCATAAATGGTAGATGTAGAAATGATTCCAATTGATAATAGTAAATTTGTGACATGACTCGATCAAATTTTGCGGCGGATTTGGAATCTTTGCTGACGGTGTCGATATAAGCTGGTACTTCCCACCATGACGAAGGCATTTCCCTCCCAATATTTTCAAGCCTTTCATCAAGTTCTTGTGTGCTAGTAAAAGCATGGATATAGTCGGATTGATTTCGATTGATGATTCCTCCAGCCAAATTTGTGAGTTTCCGACTGAATAGAAGTTCATGATCAATATTAGGATTGCTGAATGTTTCGTGTGGCAAAATCATGGTATCCTCTGATCCAGCAGGCATCCCTAGGAGTAAACATAAATATCTGTCTGCTTGCATTAAACTCCTCCAAATATGATTTCCCCCTGGTGGTAAGGGTACACTGCCAAGCTCTTCACGTTTATGTAGACCCATAAGTTGACCGATATTCATAGCTCGACGAAAGGTAAGCCATGCACGACGTAAATTTCCAGCATTCATGTGAAACAATCCTTGGAGGATTAAACATTCCAGGCCATGAATAGAAGCCACAAGTTCGTCATCCGAAGTGACGAGGCCTGCGACCGTTGAGATAATTTTGTCTACTCGAGTTTCCACGCTTGTGGTAAATCCTAATTGACTGGCATCATATCCATGAGGTACCTGCTGCAAACATACAGCTACGTAAAGAAGTGTTTGTGCTATCGTTGCAGGGGTTTCTTTAACGATGTTAGAAAGATTGAATGAATGGTTCGAATTGAATCCTGTTGGCTCTATCATCATGTGAGCTGATTTTTGTGTTAGAGAATGCATCATAAGCCAACAATCACTAAAAGAACAGAGTGTATTGGTAGCTTCTTGTGATGGAAGAAGTTCTATCAGGACATCTTTTATCCTTTCAACTTTTGTTGGTGGTCGACATTGCTTAGATGGCTTTTCTCCAGCTGATTGAACTTGAGGAGTTGTGATCTCAGTTTGACTTTCCTTTTCTCGGCGACCTAACTTTGGGGGATGTCAGCAAATATATCAACGAAAGAGGGTATGAAGTTACTCACGACAGGATTATCAAAAAGAGCAAGTATCGGTACTGTTGTAGCACTCTCGTATCCATTCGAGGTAGTGGTTGTGAATGGTGTAAGAACATCACCAGTACCCATACTTTCTGGAGTATGAATCTTTGTCGCATTATCATCCTCTTCGTATTGTTCCATTTTGGCCATCAGCTTCTCGAGTACAAGTTCTATCCGACCAAGGCGTTCGCCAATTTGAGGACCACCAGATGAATCATGTTCTTCTGGATATTCTTGACTTATACAAGTCGTTCCACGTGATAAACAACCGGAACAAATGCTAACATCTTCAGAACTCAATTGACATTTAACCTTTCTTCTTTTGCATTCCCAACAACTTTTGGTTCCTTTCCTGACACGTTTTCTACGACGTTCATCTTCCGTGAGAGCCACTGAAGCAGGTCGAACTGTCATTTTGGACTGGGTGTAATGAAATATCCCTCGAAGCTCGACGGTTCGGTTTGAAACCGGTTCTTATGATGTTGGACTTGATTCTATCCAACAAAGCAACAAAAATCGAAGATGAAACGTTGAGAATGAAGGTATTGATGTGAATGTTGACGTAAGCACAGGGGAAAAGAGGCGGATTAGAGATATTAAGCTAATCTGGGGTTGTAGACGTGTATTCCGTACTTCTGCGCTTTCTAAACCAACTTCAAAGTCTATTTGATGGTTTTGATAGTAGGTTCGGTTGATCAATAACGTACGAAGGAAGAAGATGATTTGGCTTATTGATGATTTTAACTTGACCTTTTCTGAATTTATCAAATAAAGAATTGGTGCAAGCAGAAATGCCAACAACATTGCTTCCTCCACCGCTTCGGCCGAACGAACCCTTGAAATTCGACTTGGTGACTCAGCAACTAAGACCATCTCATCCAATAGCAAAGAACCATTCCCCTAGCTGAACTGCAACGTGCTGACTTGCTGATTTGGCTTACATCTCACATGTTTCCCTAACATCTATCTATCGATATCTACGAGTATCTACCTAACTATTTACCTATCCGTTCATCTATCTAATACTCGTTGGAATATTCTCACTAATCAATCATGGATAATAACCTTACAAAACGTTCTGCACAGCGAGAGCGGGGAGATAGAGTTAATGGACATCAAAATAAATTAACAGGTACCAAACTCACCAGACGTCGTATACCCTTGTCTTGTCAGGCTTGTAGGGTCAGAAAATTAAGATGCAACAGAGAGAAACCATGTCAAAATTGTATAGCAAGGGGAGATGTAGCCATCACTACTTGCTCATACGCCGACAAGAATGATAGTAGAGTATCAAGCTCTTCTACCTTGAAACCGGAACATGAAGATATGAGAGCACGAATTTATCGACTTGAAAACTCTATTCTATCCATGATCTCTAAGGAGGAAATAAATAAAAATCCTCCCATCTCACCAAGTCTAGAAGAGGATAATGATGATCACGTGGGTCAGGCAGGTGGTCAAAAACCTTCGGTTGATACAAGAAGTACACATTGGGATTCTATTCTCAATGATGTGAGTACCAAGGACAGTCTCATTCATAAGGGCATGTTAGCTAATGGTCTGAACTAAAGCTTGGAGCAATGAAGGATGCATGGGTTGATGACCATGATCAAATAGATACAACATTACCACCAGCCACTATTTCTCATCGACCGAGTCTTTTGGGTGGTCTTACTGAACCACCTGATCGTTCAACAATACTTTCATCTTTACCTACAAGATTAGAAGCGGATAAACTTATTGATCGATTCTTTGCAAGTTATAATCCTTCTATACCGGCATGCTGTAAGTCACAACTCTCAGTCACTGACCATATCGTGCTCTATGCGGAAGAGAAAAGCTCACAAATAATGAAGATTTATTTCATAGACGGACATATCTCAAACAGGTAAGAATTTCCTTTTCTTTTGATGGATGATGAATGATGGATGATCAATGGTTGTTAACTAACCGATCCTATAGATTGAACAATTTTGGGCAAAACCTTACAATGCTAGGATTATCTGGATTGGTCTATACTTTTCAACAATGTGTATGGCCCTACAATCATATGCTCGCAATAAAGATACACCTCCTGAATACCGTGATACATTGGCAAAAATCACAGATCTATATCGTATTCGTACAGCTCAATGTTTGATCATAGCTGATATAACAAGACCTGTTTATCTGATGATAGAAATAATGCTATGTTATGCATTCATCGAGTATTCATATGAACGAGATGGTGATATGGGTACTTGGCTTTTATCAGGAACCATTATGCGTTTGGCTTTACAACAAGGATATCATCGTGATCCGGAACAGCATGCTGGTCTCAGTGTGTTTGAGAGTGAAATGAGACGTCGAGTTTGGATTATTGTTACACAACATGAGTAAGTAGTTTTAACACTGTGTCCTTTCAACCTCAAACGGGACATTTAACCTGTGAATATTCAAATTGAATGACGCTCCGCTGGCCCTCCGGAGGCCACTGCCGTGGAGGCTGACTGTATGGGAAGTAAAACCCATTCTCGAACCTTCGAGCGAAGCGAGCAATGGGGGTTTGGGGGCTTGCCCCCATTAATATCAATCAATCAAGTCTAGTAGTATCTTGATCTTGATGATGTTGATCAACATGGCTGTATTTCATAGATCTAGGATGATTCTCATTCGTTCATCCTGACTTTCATAAATATTGGTAGACTTTAGCTCCGTCAAGTAAAAACATGAAGCCACTCAATTGTTTGAGTGTAGTTGATTTTTCGGAAGACTAGCGTCTCGTGATCGCCCCTACCGAACAACTCCTCATACTAACAACAAACTACAGATTATTGTTCTCTGTTCAAATTGGCCTACCAAAATCAATTAAATTCGCCGAATGCGATACCAAAGAACCCAGCAATCTCCTCGAAGAAGAGCTATCCGAGTACATGACCGTCCTCCCTCCATCTCGACCTGACACAGAAAACACTTATAATTGTTACCAACGAGTAAAGTTCTGTATTATGCGAGCATATGGCTATATCATCGAATTCCTCCACATCGTCGAACCCCAACCCTACATAGAAGTAATCAAACTCGACGAAATGCTCAAAAAATACCACGATCGAATTCCCCTCCACCTACAACTAAGTACTCTATCCCAAATGGCATCCGAAACCCCCGCCTTCATAACCGAGAAATTCTTCCTCCAAAAATTCTACTACAAAAGCACCCTCCTCCTCCATCGCAAATACTGGTACGCCACGCTCCCTGAAAACCCAGATGAATTCCGTTGGTTCTCAAGACGAATGTGTGTTTCCTCCTCAATGGCTCTCTTAAATATCCAAGTTAGCATGCATGAAGCGAGTCAACCGGGTGGGATTCTGCAACATATGAAATGGTGGCAATTTTCCATTACCAATCATGACTTTTTACTCGCGGCTATGATCATGTGTCTAGATCTTAATACAAATCAACGGACCGATCCGGGATCTGAACGGATGAGCTATTGTCCTGTTGCGGAAAAGGGGAAATTGGATGCACTAGTGAGGGCGAGAGATATTTGGGGGGAGATTAGTGAGGAGTGTATTGATGCTGAACGTGCGGTGGGTCTTCTTACGAGTTTGATTAGGAGGTTGACGGTGAACGTTCAGAATCATGTCGCATTGAATCTCAACCCGGATCCGATTAAACAACCTCCCATTAATACTATTGATGTGTTTGTGGAAGCGGTTCCAAATACGAGTATACCGGTTTGCAATAATGGACTTGTCCCGACAACGATAAATTACGAAATGGGAGATAATTTGAATACTAGTATGATCCCGGAGAATATGTTTGATACTGGGGGGATCTTTGGAACTTTTGGGGGGCAGGCTGATGGACCGGGTGACTTTGATTGGGTGAGTTGTATATATATAGTGGTTATTCGTTCAGGACAAATGGCTAACTAGCGATTTCTTAGGATGCATGGGATCAAATAACCATTGGTCCTCAAGCTTTGGGACAAGAGAGGGATTTTGAAATGCAGACTCAATATTTTTAATGTCAATGTTATGAGTTCATTCAACGTCAATCTTAAGCACCTTGTTTCTATGAGGTTGAATTAGGACCTCTTTGAGCCCCTCGGACGACTCGCTATAACGATTAAATTATAGATCATGCCTCTAAATACCTGCCCCAGCATCAAGCACCCAGAAACTATTCTCCTCATCCTCCTTGTCCTCATCTTTACCCTCACCCGCACCCTCACTATCGTCCTTCCTGCACCCTTTCAAGAGGACTCCAACTCATTATCCAGAACATACCAACAAACCAGATAAAATACATTCAAATACCACTCAATCCAAAGACAGGATACTTTGCTATCGATCTTTTTCTCCACACTCCTTTCCTCCTTTCCATATCATCATCAGAATAAACGAAGAAGTCTTCCTTCTATTCGAAAAATACCACATCGAAAGACACAATACCAAGAGCTACCTCTCACACATTCTACGCCCTTTCATCTTTCATTCATTCATTCATCCCAAACAATGACTCCAAACCGACTAATCCACAGGATATCCAGTCATTTCACTAGAATGACTCTAGACCCTACAGCATAGATATATATATCACATCTATGACTGTACTAGTACACTCATAATTCAATACGACTCATAGCTCATAGCCCATATCGAGGAATACAAAGTTTTGTATCCTTTCCTCTTGCAGAAAACTCGGAACACAATATCTAAAAATATCAACACCAATATCAACACGAACACCAATACGATATATGAGGAATCAGCTATCTATCTACCTTTACCCCTTTAAGTCGTCATACGTTTATCAGTATAATTACCCACCTTACCTTCAAGGCTCTCTTCTTACGTTTAGGACTATTGATCTCACGTCACGCAAGGCACTTCGAGCACTTCACGCACTTGAGCACCTCGTTCCACGTACTTTGAACGAGTTACTCAATTTACAATTTTACATCGCCGTTCCTCTCTCTTATCCGCACCCAAACCTCAAGCCTCGTACCTCATCCATCTTATCCACCATGTCATCCTCATCCTCACAAACCGCCTCACAAACCGCCTTACAACCCCAATCCCAACTCCAACCCAATCCCACCTCATTGCAGCACCAGAAACCCAAACCTTACAAATCTAAATTTATCGAACACCTAGAAGATCACGCTACGCCTACGCCAATTCCAGGAAAGTTTTCTGCTGTACCAGTACCAGTACCGGTCCCTACGCAAAGTGATTCTGGATCTTCGGGTAATAAAGGACTAAGTACTCGAGTGGTTCGCTTGGTGGATACAAGGGATGTGAGAAATATAGCAATTTACTGATTTTGGATGATAGGAGGGAAATAAAAAGGAACGGCGATGTAACTATTGCTGTAGATGTTCGATAATGTAGATGTAGATGTGGATGTGGATGATGTAGGGGGTAGACTAGTGAGTATGATGTATGATGTATGATATGGCAGAGGGAGAATAGAAGGTTATTGAGAAGAAAGGGGGATGAGAAATGAGAGAGAGGTATGGATTGGATTGGATTGGGGTTATGGGGGTTGGCAAATTCCATATCATATATTCTGGATTGGCTGAACTGAACTGCATGATAGTAATATAATCGTTGCTTTTTTGGAAGATGTCTATACTCGAGTAGAACAAATAGATCTTTTATAAACTCACCAACCAATATTCAACACTATACTACGCATATTCCATCCCTTCACCCCTCCACCCCTCTATCCTCCTCTCTTCCATCTCAACTACCCATTCCCATTCCCTCCCCCCCTCCGAGTCACCCCCTCCGAGTCACCTCCCCCTCCAAAGTCCCAAATCCAACCAAAGTGACTCCAACTCCCCCTTCCCCCTACCCCCTACCCCTAATCCCAACCCTCATAAAATTCACACTTATGACTACACACTTATGACTATACCCCATACCCCATAACGATAAACAATAAACAATAAACATACATACGACTCACATAGCAGTCATACCAGTCATACCTTACCATACTAGTCATACCATACCATACCATATCATACTGCACAATAGCCTGAGTCCCTACAAACCATCCATCATTGCATCTTTATCAACACACTTCCAATCAAAACAAACCAACACACCTCAAACTCAGCAAATCAGTAACCAGTCACCAACCACAAAACAAATCCAAATCCACACCACTTCGCCATATACACCCCAACCCAGTCAGCTCAACTCAACCCAGCTCAACATGACACCCCCGTCCCCATCCCCATCCCCTCACCCCACCAAATCTTCAAACACCCAAACACCAACCCAAATCCCAACCGGCGCTTACGCAGTCCCCCAGGCCTACAACTGTATCTGGAATCCTCCTCTACACAAAATAGCATCTGCACCTCCTCAAAATCCTCCTCACCCTACCTCCATACTCCCCCAATCATACGCCTGTATCTGGACTGATGATCCTGATCCTCCTTTGCACAAATTAGCATCTGCACCTCCTCAAAACCCTCCTCAAAACCCTCCTCAAAAAGCATCCAAAAACCCAGCAAGACAAGCAACTCTAGACCTTACACCTCAGAAATACCATCTTGCTGTTCCTGCTGTTCCTCCTCCTGTATACCGGGCAGCCCTACCAAACCAGCCTACCCAACCTACCCAAGCAAACGCATATCGATCTCCTCATCAGCAGCCACAGCAGCAGCCCCTGCCGGCAGGGACTTTCGAAGAAATGTCCCTTAGTGGTGATCAGGGATTTGATGATGAGGTAAGACTCTCATACTATTCCTACTCAAATTCAACTCAATCCATCCAATCCATCCAACCCCACCCCAGCTCATATTCATTTTCATATCCATATCCACCAAATATACATACACACACACATGCACAACCCAAAAGCCAAACCAATACCAATACCAATACCAATACCAATACTAACCCTCTCTTCTCTCCGCCCACAATAGAAAAAGTGCGGTTGTTCATGTTCGATCATGTAGCCTAGCCTACCCTACCCTACCCAGTCTATCTATGCTCGTTACGTTTGTATTTATCTATGTCTATGTCTATTATAGATGCTAGACTACTGGCATCTAGTATTTACACACAACACAACATAACATAACATAACATAACATAGCATAGGCGTAGTACTGTATAGCTACATAGCTACTTATACTTACTTACCAGGCATGCATGGATGGAGTTCATGTTGGGATTTTCATTTTCAATTTTCATTTTTATTTGGGTGGATCTTCATATCCATACTCAAGTATGAGTATATCGTTCCAAATTCCAATACGTTTTATTAACATCATTACTCGAGTACTCGAGTACATAATATATCATCAAAATCACCATACTTGTACTACCCCCATCCATCTACTCTACGAGTCATTCTATTTCCAAGATCCAAGATCCAAATACCAATCAAATACCACTTAGATAGATAAGATGTATAATAAGCACCAAAACCCAAAATAAACAATAAACAAACGTTTTTTTTTCATCATCAGACTTCTAATACATAGACTACAGTAAGTAGTCTCTGATCTAATATATTGTGAAATACTCGAGTAGTCTAGTATAAAATTGTGTGAAATATTCTAGAACAGCTTTAATATATATATGTACGTACTCGTATACTCATGTCCTCTGGTATAAGAGTTTCCATCTAGAATGGATGATATGATATGATATAATTAGAAACGAATACTATTTGCTACTCTAGTAGCTATATTCAATATACCGGTATATCACAGTACTTACTACCATAATATATCTTCCTACGAGTAGTAGTAGGTAGGTAGCAGGCAGGTTTATGTAAAGTCCTTCTCACTTGAGAAATAAACACGAGATAATACCACTTGTATATCAATCCGCAGAACCAAATAATCATCACAGCCAAGAAAAACATAACATTGCAAAACCTCAACTATTCCTTCATATACACACCATATCCATATCATATCCATACCATATTCATATCCACATCCATATTTATATTCCTATATTTTTATCACTACAATCCCATCCTCACAACCTCGCTTTTTCCCTTTCCCTTCCCATTTCAGGCAGTCATTCCCTCATATTAACCACACATCTAATACAATCTCCCTTCTTCATATCATCAAAAGCTTGGTTAACACCACTCAAAGGTTGTCTATGAGTAATAAACTCATCCACCTTCAATTTTCCTTGCATATAATCATCTACCAATTGAGGTAATTGAGAACGACCTTTGATACCACCGAATGCGCAACCTTTCCAAACACGACCGGTTACAAGTTGGAATGCTGTTTTAGATTGTGTTAGTTGTTTTGCTTGAGTGATGGAAAGAAGCAAAGGGACAGAATAGGGGAAAGAAAGGAGGAAGAAAAAACTCACGTCTAGTACTGATTTCCTGTCCAGCAGCAGCAACACCGATAACAATACTTTGACCCCAACCTTTATGGCAAGCTTCCAACGCAGCTCTCATAACACCCACATTTCCTGTACAATCAAAAGTGTAATCACAACCTCCATCGGTCATCTCGATCAATTTCTCTTGAACACTTTGTCCCTTCAAGTCCGATGGATTAACAAAATCAGTCGCGCCGAATTTATCGGCCCAATCTTTCTTGGATGGGTTTACATCAACGACGATGATTTTTCCAGCTTTTCTTTGAACGGCTCCTTGCACTACACTAAGACCAACACAGCCAGCACCAAAGATAGCAACAGTAGAACCTTCTTCGACTTTGGCGGTTTCGACGGCGGCTCCGTAACCAGTGGTGATACCACAACCAAGTAAACAAGTTCGATCCATAGGAGCTTCTGGAGTGATAGCAACTACGGAAATATCGGCAACGACGGTATATTGAGAGAAAGTAGATGTTCCCATAAAGTGAAGAAGATCTTTACCCTTGCACTTGAATCGGGATGTACCATCTGGCATGACACCTTTGCCTTGGGTTGCGCGGATTTTGCCACAAAGGTTGGTTTTACCAGATTTGCAAAATTTACATTCTTTACATTCTGGGGTGCTTGAGGGATGTTAGCTGTGAAGTGAGAGGGGGAGTGGAGGTACAAAGATAAATAATGGGTGATAGGAAAGGAATGGAAACATACTATAAAGCAACAACATGATCTCCAGGTTTAACAGATGTTACACCTTCACCAACAGATTCAACGATACCAGCACCCTCATGCCCGAGAACAATTGGGAATGCTCCCTCGGGGTCTTTGCCGGAAAGTGTGTATGCATCTATTTGATATTTTGTTAGCACTTCTCTTCTATGTTCTTGTCGTATTTCTTTTATCTCCCTCTTCACGCTCCATCAGTTCACTCCTCTCTTAATACCTCCTCCACATATTATCCCCCCTCTTCCAATCACGCATTCCTTGTCCCTCTACCCCCAAAGCAACCCCTATAACAAATAAATCAAAACCTACCAGTATGACAAACTCCCGTGTAATATATCTCAATTCTCACTTCATTTGCCCTAGGAGGAGCAACCTCAATATCTTCAATACTGAGTTCTTGGCCTGCTTCCCATGCTACTGCCGCCTGTATTTATTATTAGTATTTGTTCATATTTTCTCTCCTTTTTTCGCTCGACAACAGCCCTGTCAATCCACACAATTTCTCAATGTTGTGTTTGTAGCATCCGCAGAATAGTCCTGAAGCTTTAGAACATCCGCAGATTATTTCTCGAGCTCTGGGGCATGCGCAGATTATTTCTGAAGCTTTGAACATCCGCAGACAATTCCTCAAGCTCCGAAGCACCCGCAAAGTTATTTTCAGGCTCCAGAACATCCGCAGACCATCCCTCAAGCTCCTCATCACCCGCAGAGTTTATCCCCAAGCTCTAGAACGTCTGCAGATTATTTTTCGAGCTCCAGAACATCCGCAGAGTTATCCTCAAGCTCCAGAACATCTGCAGATTATTTTTCGAGCTCCAGAACATCCGCAGAGTTATCCTCAAGCTCCAGAGCACCCACACATCCACTAAATACCGTGCACGTCGTCGACAGAATGAAGAAATTGCACAAAAAGGATTGGATATTTGCTAACCTTGCAGGTAATTGTCTGGTATTTGGAAAAGATGTTAGCATATATTCTTTTATATTAATCCACGAGTCCGAGTCCAAATTCGAATTTGAATCCACGAGTATCAGTATTCATATCCATCAACCAATCTTAGAAGCGCTGGCTGCTCCCCTTCCTCCTTTTTCTCTTTCTCTTTCCCTTCATACATGCATGCATCTTCCATTCCATCCCTTCATCATTTCCCCACCAAACAGAAACCAAATCAACCCAAACCAAACCAAAAGAAAACAAGGAAAACAAGCAAATAAACATACCTTCCCAACAGTATCAGCCGGCATTTTCTCTAATTCTCTGATTCGTTCCTTTTAACTCTTAACTCAAATATAGCTCTCAAGGTATTTAGTATGTAGTATGTAGTATGCAGTATCATCAATTATCAACTATCAAGTTCGGTATTCAAATATATTTCGTGTATGATGTTGATGTTGATGTTGTGGAACAGAACTTGAGATTGAGAAGAAGTAGGTAGGTACTGTACTTGTAGCAACAAATGAGGGGTAAGGGTACTAGGTAAGGTTAAGTGAATATCTCGTTTACAAGGAATGGAATCTTTGATTCCGTATATTCTGTACAAATAATCGGACTTCTTTCGGATATATATAAGCAAGTGAAGCTCAAGCTTTTGATATTATCTTTTATTCATCTCTTGTAAAATTCATTAATATTGTAGATTTTATGAATTTAACTAATTGGGCTATATAATGCTATATATGAGGAATACCGGTATTGTATACCTATTTCTGGGTATATTATAGGATTTAAAATTTGAGTTTATCTCATATAGCAAGTTTATACTGGGGCATTATCATTTATCTATCTAGTGTTTTGTTTCGTATATTATATCATCAAATATCAAATATCAAATCCTATATCAAATCCTTTACCAACGCAAAAAAGAACACCAAGAACCAAAAAATCGGTAATCTATCGGCATTCAGTCATTCATTCGGGTAACCCATGATCCACCCATCCATCCAACCTCGGGATCTTTTATCCATAACAAGTAATATATACTACGTACCTTACCTTACCTTACCTTGTCAACAGCTATTCACAATCGATATTGATTCTATTCATACAGTATTAGGTATGTATACCGATATACTCGTACTGTAAGGTTACTCAACTCGAAACAACTGAATCTAGAATATATATTCTGTATGCAAATGCAAATGCAAATGCAAATGCAAAGGTATAAATAGCAATAGGTAGGTATGCTCCCCGTTTTCCTCCCCTTTGCTTTCCTTCCATTTCCTCTCTCTCCTCCTCCTCCCTCCTTACCTTCTCCTTTTCTCCTCTCCTCTCCTCTCCTCCCCTCCTCCTCCCCTCCTCCTTCTCTCCTCTTCTCCTCTTCTTATCCTTCTCCTCCCCTCATTCCCTCTACTTTCCTCCCCTTTCTCTTCTCTTCTTCCCTTCCTCTCCCTTCCCCGCCTTTCATTCCCATTCCCATTCCTCTCCTCCCTCCTCCCCTTTCCACTCTTACGAACATCATACATCATACATTATACATCACATAGCATACATCATAGAGTACATTTATACATCATACATCATACCTCATCTCTATACAACGGTATACTCGAGTATATATAAAAAGCTTCAAAAAAAGTATCAACAAATCAGTTACTGGTACCCTTCAGGACTTAAAACGAGATACATCACTCACCCCCTCCCCTTATCCCACACACACCACATACCACATACCACATATAATAACAAATAGTAGCTATACTCCATAGCTAGTCACGCCTCATAATCATATGCAAGACACATACAAATACAGATACAGATGCAGATACAGATACAGTTCTACTCGAGTAGACAAAGCACATTCATTACCATACATCACACATCACATCATTTAGCAATATCCTCAAGCATCCCCAATTATTCCCACCAAATCAAAATGTATTATGTTCATTTTGTATATGCCTTCACTCTTCACTCTCCACTACACTACCATCCACTATTTGTAACCCTCTCCACTACAATCACACAACCACACAACCACATATCACCACTTCCAAAAAAAACCTCCCCTCCTCCGTCCTCCCTCCTGTACGCTCCACTCTCACATCCCTCCCTCCCTCCCTTTCAACCCCCACCCACAAAGCCGCCATCTCGATATCATATCCCATTCTTCAACATCGCCTGGTATATGCGTAACTAACCCCTCCACTCCACTCCACTCCATTCCACTCCTCCACCAATATCAAACAAAAGAAAAGAAGATAAAAAAACTACTCGATCGTAGCAAAAAAGAAAAGAAAGCCATTCATCAATGATCAAATCATGATGTCAAAAAAAGAGAAAAACGCCATCCCACTCCCCCATAATGGTATTGTGATATAATATGACTACACAGCTGTGCCCCGAAAAATTTCCCCTTTCATTCCCACCGCATATTAAAGACGGGAGCACGGCTTCCGAAATGAACTTTTTTATAATAACGAGTGTGCGTAGATGGATCAAAGTCATGAAAAGAAAATCGATCCAATTCGATTAAAAGTTTTGTGAAATACCGGCGCTTTGTTGACCTGGGTAATGAGATGGGTTTTCAATTCGTGTGTTTCTCCGTGCTGATACATCACGTATGACTGGTTGTCCTGAAACTTCGGCTCGATTTGGTGGACTTCCATATGGTGTTGCATCCGTGTATGGATTTCCTCCGGCTGGATATTGATCGTAGTATTGTCCACCAGCATTATAACCACCCGGACCTTCACCTGAACCATCTGATCTATTGGCTGCACTGTATGATGATGAAGCATTCGAGGGTCCACGGTTTATATCTCGATTTCCTGCTGTAGCTGGTCCCATCACACCCATACTTTCATCTTCGTGATGATCAACTAAAGGATTGTCAGATCGAGTATCGGAGACTGCATGAGTCGGTGAAGTTCCTTCCGAATAAGCCATACCAATTCCACCTGCGGACTGACCACCGGATAATGTCGTTGAACCTTGTCTTCCTGATGATGCTACGGCTGTAGTACCCCATCCACGATATCCGGATCCTTCTTCTTCGCGCATTTCGAATGGTCCATCACTTCCTCCGGATCCTACAGCTGGTATGGTCGGATCGTTGTTGGGGTTGTATCCATATTCCTCAACTTCTTTTCTTCTCATTTCTTCGGCATCCTTACGTTGCTTTCGTTTTCTCCAGAAGAACAATCCAGCAGCAATTAATGCAGCAACTGCAACAATAGGTACAACTACTGCGATGGCAATTGTTCCTCCTGATCCAATCCCTTTACTGCTCGTACTGTTACTCCCTGCGTTGACTAAACCGGCTGTTCCGGAAGCTGTTGAAGGGGAGGATGTCGCTGATGTAGAGGAGGTTTTTGGTGTAACAGCTTGTGTGGATGTGATATATTCGGTTGTAACTTGTCCAGATGATACACCATCAGTTGGAGTCACAGTAACAACGGATACAATTACTGTGGCTGATGTAGGATCGGCTGTTGTGGTAGGTGTGGTACTGGCTTGTGAAGTTTGTTCTGTTGTAGGTTGAGGAGTTGTGGCAGCAGAGGTGGTAGGAGTAGTTGCAACTGTTACTGGAGTTGTTGATGTTGGCGTTGGTGTCGATGTCGGCGTTTGTGGTGGTGGTGGTGGTGTTGTTGTTGGTGTTGTTTGCGTTGAAGTTTGTTCAGTTGGAAGAACTACAGGAATGCTAGGAGCAGGTGTTGTAGGATCAGCACTTGTGACTGTAGCCGATGGACTTGTGTTAGCAATTGCACTCGAGGATGAAGCAGCAATAGATGACGTGGATGTCAATTCTTCTGAAGTCGTAGAAGGGACTTCAGCAGAAGAGGTAGCTATAGGCGCACTGGTTGCCATACTTGTAGTGTTAGAAGACATCGTGAACTGTCTGACGATGAATATCCTAGGCTTCCTATATGTAGCCATGTTAGTCACCAATCTCTATATTATTCACCCATTATACATTAAGGCAGAATGAGTCCGGACAGAATAATTGATATATATCTTACCCTCAGCCAATCTTTTCCTTTCTTAAACAATATAACCAACAGTTTTGTTGCAGTGTGGAGAATCGCAATGCGAAGTAGTTTCGAATTGGTTGAAGAAGAGGGTATTCAAACACGAACGAAAGGTGCTTCGAAATTGACCGGATGAAGATCGATGGGGGTGAGATTTGAGCTATGTATTGGTTTTGGTATAGTTCCGTACGATGATTACGAACGCTTTGATTATTCTTCTTCTTCGGGGGGGAAGGTTTTCGACACGTCGCAGAAATTGAAAATAAATGGTTGGTTGTATAAAGTTTATAGAATAGAAAACAGCAATCAAATGCGTCCTCGAATTTTCGAAAGGCGTCTAAATTTTTGGACGACAAGAAAAGGTTTGAAGAAGATCCAATGTAAATAACGAACGAAGGGGGTAAAAATCGCAATCGGTAAGTTATTAATTTTTTCGATGTTTTTCTTCTCGATATGTTTTCGTTGACGAATGAGATAGGTAAGAAAAAAGAGTGTGTGTGGAAATTGAGGCGTTCAGTAGTGAATAACACCTAGGGAGAGAATGAATGAGAGTGAATTGATTTTCGAATTGTTTTCGGAGTTTTTTTTCGAATTTGGACGAATTGGTCTTGAATTGGTCTCGAATTGGTCAAACTGGAGGAATGATTTCAAACTTTTGTGCCGGCTATTTGAGACAAGTGACACTTCAGACAGGAATTTTCGCTTCCTATTATCCTTCCTTAACATTCACTCTGCTCAGGTTTTCCCGAACCACTAAGTAGCTTTTTCTTTTCTTTCAGGGTTCAAGGTATCTTAGCCGGGGGCTAACGTGCTACGAAATTAGATTCTTGGATGGCGGCGGGGATGGCTATGACAGTGATATCGGGATGGGATTGAGGGTCTGGTGGATCGAATTGATTCTTGATTTATATCGATAAGGGTAGTTGGTTGTAATGGTAGTGGTAGTCGTTCGCCTTCGATCTTGAGGAATGTGTTTTCTGCAAAGGAGTCGCTGAGATGAATTGATGTTATTCGTATATGAAAACAATCAAAACAAATATACTCGAGTATGTATTGTAATCTTGGTGGAGTTGTCTAGATATTCATTCACAAGGGGGAAGCGGAGGGAGCGGAAGAGAAAGCTTAGTGGTTTTCAAATAGTGCTAAAGTTTAGGGTAGGGACCTAGATGATAGTTATTGAGTTAGTTCTTGCTCTAAAATCTAAATGGACTAATTACGCCGAACCTATAACTTTCATAACAGATGTTTCAGCAATGTATACCTACATTTATTAAAGAGAAAGAGATTGTGTTTCCAAATACTCGAATCCTTTCACAACTCTAATTAAGATCTAAACCTTTAAACAGTTTTGGCTCTTCAACTCTAGTTCTTCAAATTCTCGCCGTCTTTTTCGCCATAATTCTTGGTATTTCTCATGAAAATGAAATACGATGTAGATCAGACTATTTTGTATATACCGAGAGACCAACATCGGTAGCCTATAAGCTAGGATTAGTGTATGTATTGTATACCAAACCATCCCAACTTCAGGGTCTATTCTCGTACTTTATGTAGTATTTTTGAGATGCATATCGCCTGCACTGCGCCTAAGGCCCTAAGCAGCTAAACAAGCACAATTGTTAGTTGTTCATCTAAAACCATGCAGCGCATCCTCACGAATCAGAATTTATGGCACCGTCGAAAGTACGATGTACGGAGGAAACGACTGCTTCACTTGGGGCTGTGTCTGTGTCTGTGTCTGTCTGTGTCTTGCTGCAATCAACATGTTCAACGACGTCGATGACTTTTTCAAGCAAGCCTCAATCGTATTGCGCCTCACCTCATCAGCGTAATCCAATCCGTCCGCTGGGCTGAATTGTCACTCGAACCCAACTTTATGATTCAAGAGCATTCATCCTTGGCGAAGAATGAATCAAACGTTTCCGTCGGCGCTCAATCCTTCATTTCCGGATTGTACTGTAACATCATTCGGATCTCTCCTTCCTAATGCATCTTCGCACAACCCAAATTCGGTCAAGACTTCCTCCGGATTTGGGTGATCACTATCACGGTGGGTGCTGCATCCAAAACTTGCATCTTGAAAGTTTTCAGACGTTTGATGGGCTTTATCACAATCTCTCTTCCCCCTAACCTAACTCCTTGATTAACTCCTTGTATGAAAAAATCAAAATCTTCACAAGTTCTCCAACTTCACGATATGCAATTCTAATTCCGAAGATCTCTCATTTTATCTTGAGACTTTGATTTGTCAATCTAATCCTTCCATTCTTCCACGAGATCTTCCATTCCATCGATTTTCAATGATTACAGATCCGAAAACCCACAATATGATTCGTCGATAAAATCGGAAATTAAAGAAATACCAGATTTTTGCCGGTGTTTTTGCAAGAAAGACGCAAGGGGTAGGGGGAACATGAGGCGAGAGTCCTTGTCCTTTGTCCTTATGGATCCTTCTGAGTAGAAGTAATATATGTATTGACGTCAGGAAATTTTGGCAGGTTGTTGTCAAAATTGACAAGAAGAGAACGAGAAGAGTACGAGAAAACTAGATGGATGGTGCTGGTTTGCAAGTGATGTGGCTGGCCATTCTGTCATTTCTCGGGATTTGGTTCACCTTGTAACCATTCATAAGATTGATGACCCAAAACGAGGAAGAGTGCTAGTAAGAAAAGTTTCGCATACACAAGTGTCAATGACCAAATTTCAGATATTGACAGACGGAAAGAAGTTTTCTCATTCCACGCAAATAACCTCAAATTATGCAAAAGTTTAATCTGATTAACTTTTGCCCGATATTTTCAAAGGTGAATACGAAGAGTGTTCAACTATTGGTCACGTGTTTCGGCTTCAATATGACTCGCGATTCTTCTTCCATTCTTTCTAAACAACAACATTTTTTTTAAAACACGACGACTAGTTGGGTAAGTACCAAAGCTTTGTCACGGCTATCGATATTACATATCAGTGTACTGCATCAGTTCGTATACTCTCCGTGGAGATTTTGATTCCTTTCGGAGTGTTTTCTTGATGGAAGTTGTATGCGCGATGATTTTTACCTTCGATTTGCAGGTTGAATACAAGTGTAAAATTTCAGTGAGAGACAGTGCATCATCTGCGATGTTTATTCTTAATACAGACTTATTCTTCAAATACCAGTTGGTCCCATCATATTCTTTACTGCTGTTGCTCTTCCAATACTGGACAACCCCTACCAAAATCAATCAATACCAGCGAGATTCCAACGACAGGCAGTCCAAGATAGCGAGCCAGCTAAAAAATCAAAGAGCTTCATCAGGAACTACATGATATTGCAGCATGGTGGACTCCTATATTCAGAGCATTGCTCTTTATCTGCGCCTTTCCACTGAAGTCTTTGGTATTTCCGGTAGTATCTTTCAAGAGCTATTATTTTTACCCCTTTGATTGAACTTCTTATCTATTGTGCGCCTATCAATAGTAGTTGTTGGTATTGTTAGATGGAAGGTTCATCGAAATTTCTTCCCGCTTCATCGCTTTGAATACTACCTCGTCACAGATATTGATCCTTCATGACATGATAGTGTCAAGCGCAGAGGGGGAAAATTCAGTTGATGAGTAAGTTGACATTCAACCCAACATCTAAAACCATGCATAGCTAAATAGAGTAGCTCAAAATATTTTACATCGAGTCGCTACCATCAAGTGGACTCTAACCCGCCAAATTGCTCTTCGTTTCACTGTAGCCATATCCACACAACCTATTTATTCTCAGATTCTTTCCTTTCTTTCTCTAACAAATTTGACAACTTGTATTCCTCGATGGAGAACTGAACAAGTATGTTGAACTGCAATTTCAAGGCCTCTTCATTACCACGATCATACTCTTGTATTTTAATAAAGGATGTTTGACGTATCCACTGTATCTTTGCGTCAAGCTGGATATATTCACTGGGAGACCCATCTTTCTTTTCCCACACAGGCAATGGACTCTCTTCGTACTTCTGATCTGGGCCCGCAGGATCCAGATATGCCAGAAACATGAGGGTATCAAGATACACCAGCTTTTTTCGTATAAAAAATTGCTTTATCGTCGAGATGTTTATCTCCAACTGTTTCCATAGTTCGCAGTATGGCAGTGATATGCGAGCGTAAAATTTCGCTGTCGTTTTCTCCGTGTTCGACTTCACAGATGCAGCAAATATCGGTGGCTACGGGGCTGTTGTGGCAGAGCCTGACGCTCATCTGTCGGGTTCTCACTGCGAATAACTTTGATGGAGTGATCGAAATATCCCGCATATGCTCGGGTTTCGTCGAAGGTGATGGGACGGGTGTTTTGATAGGAACATTCGCAGAACGCATCGGGATTGGGAATTTCGTTCGGGCTCTTCCCGTCGTTGTCGGTCTTGGAAGGGTAGACAAGTATGCACATGGTTACAGCTGTCTGGGGTTGGGTCAACAGATGACTTTCTGGAATGGAGTGAGAATATTACCCGTATTGGAGGAAGGGAACTTGAACTATTGTAGAATAGGAGCAAGTGGATGTTTTTGAATAATGTACTGTACTGAGTATTGTGTTTATCGTTGTGTTATTGCAGAGTTTCTGTGTGAGGGAATTCTTCGTGTTGTTTTTCGTGTGTAGAAGAAGAAGAAGAGAAAAGAGAATCCAGAAGAGGAACTTCGGGGTTTTGTGCACGGAAATTAGAGCCATTTGCTAGTCATAACTTCAAAAGAAAAAGAATATCATGGTTTATCAACGATGAATCGAATATTTCGATGAATCATGGCTCTTTTGAAGAACATGCTTTTTACATGGCCTATATATTCACATTTCATATACAGACATACATATACATATTCATATTCATATACATACACATACTATGTATTATTCTTATCTCAAATATTTCCCCTCAATCTTTCCCACCCCAAATGATTCCCATCTCAAATCTTCCCATCCCATCCCACCTCAAACCCAAACCCACAATCATAACCACAACCACAACCACAACCTCAAATCATCACCAAAACAAAACACCAAAGCACAACACAACAGAACACAGCATCCATCAACTCCATATACGTATACATATCAATTCTATCTTCCAATTAAACCAAAGCATGCATGCATACATAAACGAATGACCTTCTCTTCTTTTCTCCTTCTCTCCAATTTAAATTCTCAAATATCAATTTCCGATTTTCCAAATTTTCCAACATCTGGGACAGCAGTGGCTGGTTCAGCGCTAAAACTTTTTTTCTTTCTTTATCTCTTTCTTTTTTTCTGTGTGTTTGAATTTACTGTGGAAGTTTAATACTTGAGTTATGTGAATGAATGAATTAGATGTCATAGATATATGGATGGATACATGGATGGATGGGTGGGTGGAAAGATGGACTCGACATTGTTATGTTGTGAGCTAATAAGCCAATATGTTTTTCATAATCTAACTCCTCTGGGGGCACGCAAAAAGTATCCCAATTTGGATCGAAATAGATGGTATCCGAACCAAGTGATTAGACAAATGTTTTTCTGGTACCGGTACAACCATGTAATGCCACATGTCGATATTTCCAGCAGAGAGTGAGCAGGTGCGGAATTGCCGTATGGGAACGATCATGCTGGATATCAAACCTTCGAGCACGAAGAGAACGTCCAGCGCCTGGATTAGACAGTGAAATAATATGTACAACCGAGCAATGCAGATCGACACATTGAACTTCTACCAGTGTTGGCTCGCAAACAGCAAACCGCCATGATATATGGCATAGTTCGGGGGAAACCTACCAAATGAATGGAAGTGCAGGCTGCGTTATTCGGTTTTGGGAAGCTATGATGTACTCTTTATCAACTCTGTCATTTTTTCGAGGTTTTTGGTTTTGTATCTTGAGGTAAGAGAAGTGCCGCGACCGTATTTGTGGCTCATGTGGGCCTTATAAGTTCTTCCAATATTTATCATCTTTCTCCTCCGGCCAGGAACCAGTCCAGGGCTTTGTCATGGTATGCTATTCGTACAAGTCGCAACCGATTATTTGAAATTTGAAAGCTATTATCCCTTTTCGATGTATTCCAGATAACTGTACCGAGTAGGTGGGACGATGGGAAGCTTTTTATAGAGGCATTTGATGCTTTGATAAGAGTAATAATTCTGAGTTTATAAAGTATTGATATTTCATGAACATAGACAAGGACAGGAACAAATAAACGTGAAAGTTGTGAACACTCTAGATACTGTGAGGCTCATCTGATCAAGGCAGGTGCAGCCTTTATAGTATGGTGAGCAACCATTCTACTTCCGAGTACGAAGGCAAGAACGAGGGGCAGATATAGGAAGCCACTAGGCGCCTCACCCCCTCAAATATATAACAGTGTGACATTCAAGTGTCAGAAATATCCATTAAGGTTTGAAGCCAGTCTTAAATTCCTTTCATCACAGCTATGGTGAGGTGCTTGTATTTGTTAAATGAGTGAGCGAGCAATCTTATTCATTTAAACAAGACACCAGAGCTAGAGACGGCAAGCATCACGCATGAATGACTATAAGCCGCCAGGATGATAATCTAGGATCAATGGGTCAGTTTAAGTTGACTTCCTCATTACTCCGAGTCAAAATTCGAAACGACAAAATCGGACGAAAAGCAAACAGCTTTAACCTCGGTAGATCACATGACGCGGCCGCATATCAGAAGTCCATGACGTCCCTATCTACATCGCCACGCTGCTGCACGACATTTTTTCCAAGTCTGATATTTTCCTAATAGAACTCACAAAATTTTAAGGGATTCCATTCACAAGTCAATCGATACCAAAATGACATCTTTGCGAATCGCTCGCCGGGCTTTCCGTGCCTCAATGCTCAGCTCCTCTCGACCTTTCTCCAGCACAACATGCCGTTTCGCAAATGCCAATCCCGGCAATGCACAAGAGCACGATGGTACAGAAGAATACCGCAAATTCCAAAAGGAAAAGCCATTAAATCCACATATGACGAATACCAATTCTACAATTGTGAACGAAATGCCTAGTGTTGGTGCGAGGAAAGTTCCACCTGAGCTTATCACAAGTTTGGATGGCAAATTCTCCCCAAAGGATAGTGTACCTGAGAATACGGAAAGAATGACTGGTGGGACACAAGATGGGGAAGGGAGTGGTGTCAATAGAGAGATGGCAGTGGGAGAGATGGAGGGGCATCAATTCCGAGTGGAGCCACTGAGAAGGGATGGAGAACATGAGGAGAAGATGAGGGCGAGGTTATTATGTACGTTTTTGACAATTCGGCGCTCACCTCGGTTCCATTGACGAAGAACTTTGTTAACATAAATCTTTTTCACAGATCAATCCCGTAAACGTGGAACTCTCGAATCCGATCTTCTCATGTCCACCTTTGCGGATGCCCACCTTCCTACCATGACCGCTTCACAAATGGTTCAATTCGATCAGTTCCTCGACGAAAATGATTGGGATATTTATTACTGGGTCACACAAGAGCCATCACCCACTTCTCGCGAAACAGCTGAAGGTGCTGGTTTTGGACCCGAAGGTGCAACAACCAATGCTATGGGTACAGATCAAAAGAAATCACCAGTGGCACAAGGTACAGATGCTGGTAAACAAACTGGTCCCGAACTAGATACAGATACATGGAGAAATGGAGCACCAAGGAGTGGAGAATGGGCACAGACGATTGGAACATTCAAGCCAGCTTACAGACCTGTACCGAAGAGATGGCAAAATAGTGAGATTTTAGCTATGTTGAGAAAACATGTAATCTCGAGGTCTGCAGGGGGTGTATACGATGTGGAAACCACTGACGATCGTGTATCTGGCAAGGGCATGGCATTCATGCCACCTATTTTCCAGACTGATCAGAACCGATCATGAGATAGGAGTCGAGGGATTGTAATCATGACCGTGGAAGAAACGAACTCGGTCTTGTAATTTCAAATAGGATTACTATCCATGTATGATATTCGTCTACAATGAGTATGAATAATGATTATTAATATATCCCATCTCCACCATGCATTCTCCGACCCCTGAGTTATGCGAGTAATGTGAGCGGTAAAACCTTTTTAAACCACATACCATATATCATCTTGCCAATAGAGCAGATCTACCTTCTATCTAAACTCTATCTAGTTTCCATCTAACTCAATTATATTCAAGAAATACAAAGTACCAAAATCCCCATCTACCACCATTCCCCAAAATTACACATTACAACCACAACTATTAGTCGCCTCCTCTTCTTACAAAAACATTACTACTCGCCAAATTAATTAATTCATCCCATCCCCTATAACCGAACCCCCCTTCCCCTTTCCCTTTCCCCTTAGCGAGAACGAATCCATCACATACAAGCACCAACATCCCCTTCTACAAAATCTCCCAAGTCGAGACTTAAGAGTGTGCATTGGATAAATATCCATGTACGGATTTGTGTTGGGTAGTGGAGGATGGTATGCAGGGTGGTGGGGAGGATGGTGGGGAGGGTGAGAGAGATGTTTTTTGGGGGGAGGAAAAGTTTGTTGGTCATGGTTGTTTTGGTGGTTTTGGTGGTTTGGGTGGAGAAGATGGGGATGTGGATGTGGATGAGTGTTGTAGGAAGATGAACCGGTATTCAAATCCAATGAGGTCAAGATTGAGCGATAGTCGTCTGTAAAAATGCGTAGAAAGTCCCCCTTATCATATATCAAAAACTCAACTCAAACCCCCCTCTTAAAAACCACGCGTAAAACCTCACCCCGACCCTTCCACTTCCTCACCACAAACCTCTTACTCTTCCTCAACAACTCTTTCTCACTCCTCAATAACGCCGTTTCGCTCCTACCTCGACCCGTATTTAATGTATAAGAAGAAGAAATCGATTGCCAATAAAACCCCTCTCTACACATCTCCGTCCTCTCTATTCTATTTTCTTCTATTATATCCTATTCTATTCTCTTCCGCCCGAACTTTTCGAAAAATCGATAATCCCCTGATATCTCTTCAGTAATCCCTCTATTTTCTTCTGGATTCTCTCTGTGCCCAAATTATCCAATCTTAGTGTCGTTTTGGCACTTCCGCTAACAATGGGACTTAAGGGTGAGGGTAAGCGACTCAATCCCGTTAATTCCGTAATCGTATCAGGAGTTCCGGGTACAATGGTTTCCTCACTCGAGAAAGGTGTATCGCCACAGTTTCCCGCTTGATAAAAAGCACGCTCGAATTCCTTGGTGCGTTTTTGCGTTTCGAGAATGAGGGTATGCCAATAGAAAACGAGATCTCGACGAAGACGTTCGGCGTCGCGGCGTTCTTGGAGAAGATTTTCAAAGGCGTGGGAGAGCTCGATTTGGGTTTGTTGGCCCACAATGTGGGAGGAATTTGGAGAAGGTGGAAGTAGGGATGGAGTAGATGTTTGATATGGATTGGATCGGAGGGGTAAGGGATCGATGATCATTGAGGGGTAATACCGATTGTGGAGAAAAATGCAGACTCAGACTTGCATATGCATATGCAGGTACTTTACTGTATGAAAACTCCCGAAGAATGAAGTGGAAGTGGAATTGGAGTGGTGTATCATGCAGGTAGATGTCATATCAAATTCCTCTCTATTTTTACATTCACATCACTACTTATAATAACCTCAATCCCCTTCTCCAAACTCATCATTTTCTGCAAGCAAGCACACAGAAACAAGAGGCTGGGAATGAAAATGCAAAAGATAAAAAAAAACTCATCGCGCCATGTCGAAGAATTCGCGAAAACGCTCAGGAATGCAGCACTAACCCACACTTTTCCGCCACAAAGAAAAACGTCAGAAAGCTCAACAACCAGTAACTAAGGAAGTGATCGACGCCATACATTCCTCGGTCACAATGTGTTTGTAGCCGATGCAAATCTTACATGATCCAGTTGATGAATTCTTTATTCTTTGAGAGAAACCCCTCAAGCCATGTGGGTTTCTTTGATGAACTTGACAACCCCAAAGGAAACTGAGACGCATCAAAGAGAAAACTTTTCACGGAGCTATGGGGGGTAGCTATATTATCTTGTAACTGCTCAGCTCAATCAAACGCTCTTTTTCTATCTATATTTAATATTTGAACGTTTGCAGAAGTTGAAATTCATCCAAAACCGAAGCGATAATTCTTCGCCTATCCATCACGAAGAATTTACTGCATTCCAAAGCCCAACACTGCAGCAATACATCGGCAAACTTCACCACAGAGTGGTATGAAGTGGCTAGTATCGGCACGTATGGGCATTCCTGGGAATTCGAAAAGACGTTTGAGGACAGTTCAAACTGCACAATCACGTGTATGTCACGCAAATATTCTTCATTCCAATGCTCTTCCTGTATAATTTAATGAAGAAGGCTGGTAGACACCTGACCTCTTCATAAATATCCCCTCCTGGACGTTTCTAACATGTTTGCTTCATCGCATACATCATCGTACATCTGGCATTCACCTTGCATATTCTTCTTCTTCTCCCAGCCTATCATACGAGCATTTTTCTAACTTTACCTGCATACTCAGGCACTATCACATCTCACCACTCAGCCTCTTCATACCAAAGCCATTATGCCTCCTCCTATGGCAACTGGGGGAAAGTCTTCGGAATTTCTCTCAAATAACTTTGACGAACTAGATAACGCCTTTTTCGATGAATTTATTACTTTCAGTCCATCTAATGATGGCCTTGCAGAACAATCGGATAGCAAAGATCAATCTTCAGAGACATTACTAGGATCTCTACACAATGCCGATGCACAGGAGATTGAAGATAATTGGCAAGGGGATCCATGGGTTTTTGCCCAAGACTCAGCCTCACCAGACGGCACACACGACAATCTTTTCTATGCCGAACTTTCTGGCAGAGCCGCAATATCTGACTCGGATCTGCTCAGCCTCGAGGGTATATCATTACAGACACCTCACATAGAAGCATGGTCTCACCCTTCTCTTCCGTCATCACCATTACCAACAGCTTCAACGAGAAAAAAGAGTCGTGTTCAAGCACTTGCCAACACATTGAAAAAAGCGAGCACAAAAACAGAAAAGTCTCTACGAAGTCCTATTCGAAAATCGAGTACAACATCTTCCACCATGCAACGAGGCTCTTCAAGTCATGGAAAAATGAACCGCGAAACATTGAGACGAAAGCTGGCTTTGGATTCTTCGAAATTTGGATTCAATCCTCAGCATCAATTACCAATGTCGCCTCCACAATCAGCTAGAATATCTAATGCATCAGAACATACCTCGGCGATGAAGAAGGCACAAAAAATGGATATCATGGATGATTTATGGACTGGCATGCCACAAGACCTACACTTCCCATCAGCACCTGCTGACTATAATACACCACTATCAACACCAAATCTAGACAACAAACGAACACCAGAAATGCGTTTTCGTCAATCATCATCAAATGGATCAATGTATCCAATGACGCCAAAATCTCAACAAGTGTCAGCCTCATGGTCACAACTACCAGGATCATCAAATTACAGCTCAATTGGAGCCCCGTCAGAATACCCACTTGAGGTAGAAGCTGACGGGCATTCTTTATGGTGGAATCACGCGGCAACAACGCCAACGGCTCAGCCTTCACCGACTACCCTTCACCGAAATCCACAAAGGGCAACAAAAAGCCTTGCTTTCCATTTACAAAATGAACTTCCATACACAACCAGCGATATGAATATGGCACAAGGGTTGATGATCTCAATGCCTGAACACACGCCCCAACAATCCTTCGTAGTAGAATCACCAAACATGCTTCAAGGTTATTTTAATGCGGGTGCAAATGGAAGTGGACCACCACAACATTCACCATATCATACTGCAGCTCATCGAACACACTCGCATTCGCACTATGCACATCACCCATCTTCTTCATCACGAAAACCTCATTATTCTAATCCCAGACCAAGAAAAACTCGTACGGGATCAAGTGGATCAGAATCGCCATCACCAAAGTCCTCAACTACTTTTCACGTCCGAAAACAGCGTAAATCGAAGAATAGAAATACATCACCCAGAACCCCTACATCTGGACGAGTAATGGTTGATTTCGTCAACTATACACCAGATGATAGTCGGAAGATATTGACCGGAGTTGCTCCAAGTGGATCGAGCAAGACAAAAGCAAGGAGAGAGAAGGAAGCAATGGAGAAGAGGAGAAAATTATCGCAGGCTGCTCTGAAAGCTATTCGAGCAGCTGGTGGAGATGTTGGAAGTTTAGTTGAAGAGGGTTTGTTTGTTTAATTCTTTGGTTAGCTTTGGCGTTTGGGGATATGGGGAATTACTTAATAAGTTGTATATCCACGCAAGTTGAGATCATACATAGACCTAGATACCTATATAAATTGAAATCATCGTCATCTACCGAACTCATCTTTCTCATAAAGCCCGTGATTCAAGTATTATATCTTGTGATTTTCCTCTAGCTGTTGTGATGATTCTGTCTGCAGCAGTGCCGATGTCCTTGGTACTCCGCTGCTTCGATGAGCATACGAACGTAGAAAAAGAAGCTGTCCGCTGAAGAAGACATAAGGAATCACCAGAATAATCAAATCAAAGTTATTTGAAACCGTACAGACTATTGACTATCTAGTCTCCAAGTAACTCGTAGTTCAGGCGACGGTTACTTTCGCAAACGCTTGGCAGTAAACGTCTCTTCGACCAAGATAATTCACACAACATCAAGATGAACTGCATGGCTTGAAGTATTTATGATCAATGGCGAACAAATTCGTGGAGGTAAGAACATTTCTAAGAAAGGAAAGTTGGTGATGATATTTACCGCAATTGGCTTATCGTGGAATTCTTTTGAAGGCGGGCGGAGGCTTGGGATTTTCCCTGTCACTGTTAAGAATGTCAAAAGGCTGACCATACGACATCACCTGACAAGTGGAAAACCGGAAACCTCATCAAAAGATGACTGTACAGTGTACATGAGCATAAACAAGTTCTTCTCCTTATGATATTCAACTTCCTCTTGCCATCAATTATCGAGTGATGATTTGATTTTACTTTTTTGATTTTATATTCATCACGCTTTTTTGACTTCAATAATCATTGGTGATCTTTACGATGAATGTCTCATTTCCCGCCCTGGTACAGTGTTGGCGAAACATGCCACGAGGACGAGATTGATCTTACTACTGACAGATGGATGATTCTCAGCCCTACGAGTACAAGCAAACAAAGTATCGAAGCTTCAACATGATGACTTTGAAGTTTACTCTTTAGAAGTTTGGTTCGAACCCCTCGATATCTCACAATCCTTCACCCCCATTCCTCTCTCATTATACCAATATACCAATCTATTTCAATTTCTGAAACGCACACCAATTTACTAGGGTATTTCGTCTCTACGCGCTTATCATAAAGTTATTTGTGTGCATATTCATTCGATCTGATTCCACCTTTCCTAATTTGATCTATTTTGAGATTAGATGTGGCTCAAATGGGAGATCATTGGTTTTATTCAGCACAACCCACGTCTTTTATTGGGGGCGTCTGGGTTCAATACATGTTCATCCGAAGGGACGGGATGATACAACGTGGGAAGTGATGGAGTATCTGCAAGGGTTCTTAGCTTTTGTTTGCGATAGCGACAAAATACTATGAATAGGAATTGTTTTTACTGGGGGTTCACAATGTCCTATAAGGTATTCCAGTTACCTATATGTATATCTTATATCTGCAGCAAACCTTTCGAGACGCACAGTCCATCTATATAAGCAAATCGGAGACCTTATCGCAAGGTACGAAAAGGCTGTGCCACCCGCAAGAAAGCCCGCCAGAGCAAAGTATACGTCAAGAAAGCGTTCCACCCGTTCGCAATCGTACAATTGGAGTTTGGCACTCAAAATTGATCGTTTGAAGCTTTAGGCTTCCACCGAAAGCATTGCAAGCTCCAATTATCAAGCGCGAGAGCCATTAGGCCCGCCATATACCATATCATCAGGTAAGTTGTATATCGCACTCTTTATATGAGAACAGAGAGTGTTGATTTCTAACAGCCTCCCCAGTCGTTTTCTGAGCAGCACAGCCTTCGATATATACGACGAAATTGGAATTATTGAGGAATTGGATTATGGCAGAACGTGAATCTGGGGATATCCCCCCACAGAACTATTTTACTTCACCCTATTCGAAGAAGACAAACATGACCCACCATGTCACATCATTTGGGGACCGCAGCCCTCCTGATATGCGTACCAACCATCACACAAGAAATCGATCTTCACTAGCATCGACTCTCTCACCTACTTCAGAAGCTTCTTTCCTATCTAGCGAAAGTGATGAAATCGACATCAGTCATGTGCCATTATCTGCACATATTGTGACACCGTTGGGTCCTATGAATGCGTCAATCAAACATAATCCAAGGTCATTATTTCTACCGGAAAAATTACGGACAAGACCTGCATCTCCGAGTCAGAAATCGTTCGAGTTCTTTTCCAAACGTGCTAGTTCATACACTCCATCAACCTCAAAATCAGATCCAGATTCGAGCAAAGACACAACGAAAGTTAAAATCGCACACAAGAGGTTCTCCCAAAGAAAGTCGTTACTCAAACATCTAAGACATGATTCTATACCCGAAGAAGCGTTTGATCTCAATTTATTGAGTGCAGCTATGACGATGGGATATCAAGGAAGAAACCGAGACAAAACAGCAAGTGAAGAAACCGAATGTGAAGATGCGCCAATGGTCTCCCCAATGGCCATTCCATTCGATCTCTCCATGTTTCACGAGCCAATGAATAATGAAACTTTGACTTCCCAGATGCGCGAAGAGATCAGTCGACAAGAAGCAGCCGGTGTTCTTACCGGAGGTCTTGGGGCGGGATTTACTCCAGATAGTACGATCACCAGTACAGATTTGATGGCCGAACAATCACACTCAGTTACGAGTGCCGCATCACGATTATCCCGACGTCTTACCCTTCGAAATGGTGGACTGAGTAGAGCAGCTACATTGAAAGGTTTGGCTCAAAACGAAGCAAATAGACGAGGAGAAGTGATCGAAGTAATTGTACAAGATGAGGCGCCAATAGATATTTCTTCTTTTGCCGGACACACCGGAGGATTCGATAAAGAGAATTTCTATTACGATAGTATAGATTCCCTACCGCAGAGTATAAACAAAAAAGGCACATTCAGAAGCACCAATATGGAAATTTTCTATCCCCAAGCAAATTGGAAACCCTTTTCAATGCGCGCCCCCTATCTCATTGCTCTCATCATTATTTCCGTGGTCCTTGGAGCCGCAGAAGAGTATCTCTATCAAAAGTCCCGCAACAGTCCACTCTATACCTTTACATCACCCGGCGCGATGAAAACGTGGGATTATTTTTGTTTCAAATATTTACCTACCCTCGTCGCTGTGACGTTTGGGGTTCTTTGGCAGATTACCGATTTTGAAGTTAAGAGGTTGGAAGCTTATTATCAACTCTCGAAAGAAGGAGGGGCGCTGGCCGCGGAATCGATTAATGTTGATTATATTACTTTCTTCAATGTCTTGAGACCGTTCCGAGCTGTGCTTTTTAAACATTATGCGGTGGCTGTTTCGTCAGTGGCGACGCTGTTGGCAGTTTCTCTTGTGCCTACGCTACAATCTGCTTCCGTGGTTCTTATACCCAGTCGTGCGGAACGGAAAGCTAATCCGGGTGTCATGAAAGGAATCATCATTAGTGGTGCTTGGTCTAGATCATTAAGTATAACACTCTGGCTATGTGCAATTTTTGGATGTATACTTCTCTGGCAACTCGAGCGGAGACCTTCAGGTCTAGTAGCCGATGTCAAAGGAGTAGCTGGTATAGCTGCCATGGCAAATAGAAGTCACATCCTAATGGATTTCAAAAACATGGATACCGCGACCCCAGACATGATCCATCAAAAACTCAAAGCGCACCACTACACGCTCCGAAACTCCTCCCTCGCACCCGAAGATAGCATTATCCTCACTCAAGCCGACAAAGATAAATACGACCAACATCAACACCACGATGAAAACCCACATCCGCTCTTCCTCCGCCTAGTCGCGGGAATCCCCTTTGTAGTCGGCATGCTCCTCTTCACAATCCTCATCCCCATCATCCTCTTCACCCCCGCAAACACCATCACAGATAAAGCCCCCTGGCTCCTCACTCTCGGCGCCATCTCCATCAAACTCTGCTGGGGCAGTCTCGAAACCGCAATCCGCATGATCGAACCCTTCTACATTCTTTCCCGTCGTCACGCATCCCCCAAAGCCCTCACTTTAGACTACACCGCCATGGCCTTTGGCTGGCTCCCCATCCGCGCCTTTCTCAACGGTCATTACCTCGTTGCGATCGTCGGTCTAGGCTCCGTCCTTGCAGAAATCCTCACTGTATGCGTCACCAGTTTCAGTACCGTCACCGGTAACGATTTCATCTCTAGTTCCAGCAACCCATCTCGACGCCGCTCCGATGGCGTCGATTCCGGCGAAGAAACATTTGCTTCTTTCTGGGTTTCCTTTGCGCTAGCAATTCTCATCCTTCTTTTCCTCATCATCATTAGTATCCTCTCCTATTCACGACGTCGACATCCGTTCCTACCCCGTCAACCATCGTCTATAGCTTCCATCCTCGCTTTTATCTATCAATCGAAAATGCTGTATGATTTTGTGGGGACGGAAAAATTGACAAATAGGGAGATGGAAGATAAATTGATGGGGATTGGGAAGAGGTATGGTTTGGGTTGGTTTAAGGGGAGGGATGGCGAAATGCATTGTGGAGTGGATGAGGAGGAGTTGAGTAGTTGTTATAAACATGGCCAGAATGAGAAGGCGGCGAGTATGCCGTGGAGTACTAATTGGCAGGATTATTGAGGGGTGGGTGGGGATAAGGTGGATGAGGAGGAGGAGGAGGCTGAATGGGTGGGATATTAAGGGGGGGACTGTATATTCTTGTAATGGGATGGGATGGGGTAGGGATGGGGTAGGGTAGGGTAGGGTAGGGTTGGAATTAATGGGGGGTTGTATATATATAGTTGACCTATGTATAATATAGAGCTAGTATTTGTAGATTAGATTGATATATATTCCAATATAATCACATATATATATCCATGATTCTATTCATAAACCCAATATCCCATTTATTCATTACATAATACTCGTATTTATATATTTAATTACATACATATACATCTCACCGACACAAAACTCCAAACTCCAAACTCCAAACAACTAACTACTCGAGTACTATAAACCTCTACTCATAATAACAAATAACAAATCACAAATAACAAATCACATCACAATATATACTAGTATATTCTAAATCAAACCTTTATTACATCATAATATATACTCGAGTACATCTAATCTACTCTATTTGTGTATAGATACGAGTACTAGGTATATATATATATCTTTCTTCTACTCGTATATCTACTCGAGTAAGAGTACTAATTAATATCTACTAGTATCTATCTATCTTACTCGTAGGCTTATTATATTATATTATATCCTCTTGGTTAATTTATGAGGCGAGTATTTGAGGTTTAATACTAATATTCTTATAATTATTTAATTATTTAATTATTTGTAGCGTGCTTTTTTAGGAGAAATGAGAAATGAGAAATGAGAATTGAATTTTTTAATTTTTAATTTTTGGTTGATTTGGTTTGATTTGATTTGATTTGATTTTGTTGATGTGGATTTAAGTGCTGAAGAGGAGTGTTGTAATGGATGTAATGTGATGTGATGTGAAGGGTAGAAGGGAAGTCCAGAAGTGAAGTGAAGTGTATGCAATGGATTGAGTTCGCGGGATTATATATATATATATATTCAGATCAATTCTTAAGCATCAAACATCAAACACCATCAAGAACCACCATCACCTCACCACCTCTCCCTTCCCCTTACCTCAGGCTACTGCACCACCCCCCCTCTCCCCCTACTCCTCCTCCTCGCATCCAAATAAACCATAAACTCCCCATAACTCTCCGGCAAAACCTGCACTTCCCCCTCCACCTCAAACGTATAATTAAACTGACCCGTCGGTTTCGTCTCTCCACTCTCATGCTCCACATTTTTCACTTTTGTATCTACTCTTATCTGAATTTTTGTTCTCTTCCCCTTCCCTTTCCCCATCCCCTTTTCCCCCTTCCCTCCCTTTCCTACCTCCCCCTCTCCCACCTCACAATAAGCCAACCGAGCCCCAACATACAACACACCCCCCACGGGCACCGGATTAACAAAAGTACTCGGATCCAACGCGACAAACCTCGGTCGCGCATGTGCAAGTGCAGATGCACATGTAAAAGCCAATTCGAAAGTCGATTTGAGGAGAAATCCGCCGAAAATCATAAAGTTGTGGCGGTTGCGGTATTGGGGTTGCATGATTTGTACTGATTGGATGGTGGAGGTGGACATGCGGATGTAGGATTTGGGGAGGAGGGTGGGGGTGTTGGGATCTGTTTGGGGGACGGAGGGAGGGAATGTTAGTTGAGGGGTGGGGATGGATGGATGGATGGATGGATGATTAATTAGATGAAAGGGAAAACAAACCATGATAATCCAACATCTTCAACCACAACCTATGAATCAAATCACTCTCCTCATCATCCGGCTCCTTACTCTTCAACCCCCTTCCCATTTCCCTCTTCTTCTTCTCATAACTGCTCATCCCCAACTTATACAATCTTCTCTCCTCATCATCCTGCGGTTCTACCCCCGCTATCTTAACTGCTCTTTTGGTAAGCGGATCAAGGGAGACCATGGTGAATGCACATTCCATAAAAATGTCTTCTTTTTTTCTCGGTTCGCGTGGTTGGCTTTGGTTTTGGTTTTGGTTTTCCGGGTCAACAGGAATCGCTTTACATACTTGGAGTGAAACTTCCATGGAAGAACGACCCGTGGCAAAGGTAACTTGGCCCGAGAGCTCGAGATCGCATATTTCGAGGGGGCGGGAGAGCGTTATTCGGTCGACGGCGGCGGTGACGGTCATAACTGCATCTCCGGTATGTTTATATGAGATGACACCTGCCAAAGCATCGAGGTCCTATTGGTTTATCCATTAGTATTTTTTTTTTTTTTCACTGCCACTCTTTCCCTCTCCCCCTCTCCTCTTCTACCCCCCACCAAAAGAAATTCCCTCTCCCCCTAACTCACCATAAAAATAGCCCCCAACCTCACCTGCCCCGAAGCCGTAATATAATTATCCAGCAACCAAGGATCGCTTGCGAGCGGTAGTATCTATATTACAAATCACATCAACCATTAGTACTCGAGCATATATCTAGACTTTTTCTTGTTATCTATTCTCTCTTCTTTTCTCCCTTCTTTTCTCTTTTCTTTCCCTCTTTTCTCTCTCTCTTATACTGTGACTTTGCTCGTCAAATAGCTGACTCCCTTGTGCATCATTTTTTTAATTCTCTATCTAATCGATTGATGTGATGTGATGTGATAGGATATGACGATCATGATTAAAAATCACAACTGAAATGAATATGCACATGGCGCATATCATACAACGCAGCACTCGCCTCGTATCGTATCGTATTATATCATATCATATCATATCATATCATATCATAACATATCGCATTGCAAAGAAAAAGAAAGGAATAAACTCACAACCCGATGAAAACTATCTTTCATCCTCTTCATCCCCTTATCCCCCACAATCATCCCCTTCCCCTTTCCCTTCCCTTTATCTCCCTCTATCTCCCCTTCCCCCCCCTCAATCCCCTCCTTATCCCCCTCTATCATCCCTTGCTCTCCCTCCTCCCTCTCCCTCCCCCTCCAAGCCTCAATAAACGGCACCCTCACCGTCCGCATCTCCGTCAACCCACTAAACACACCATCCGTTCCTCTCCTATGCGTCATTGAAAAATCTCTTTTATTCCTCATTCTCATTCCCATTCCCATTCCACCTATACTCATACCTATACCACCCATTCCAGCTCTACCAATTCCCACACCCCATCTCAACCCCGTGGCATCATTCAATCCCAATCCCAATCTCAATCCTGATCTCCCACCCCCTTTTCCAGCAAGACTCGATACCCGACTCGACACCTGAATCGATGTCCGTAATCTCATCCTCATCATCCTCTCTAAAATCTCAATCAAATAAATCCAAATTCAAATCCCTATCTCGATCTCAATCTCAATCTCAATCACAAACAAATCCCTACAAGGTGACGTAGTAAGGTGATATCAAGGATTGCAGTAGTACTTGTAAATAAAACAGAATCACAAAAGATACGAGTACAAAAGATACAAAGCTCTCCCTCGCTTCCTCGGATAATCACGGGACTTACGGATACCCATACCCATACACAGTACCTGTATGGATACCCAGATAGTGAAGTACTGAGTAGGCAATTAATTAAATATGTATCTATCCAGCATTACACATTACAAACAAATCAACAACATCATATCACCCACCACACAACCGATTCGAAAATTTATCAAGTTCAATCTACCTCAATTCAACTCAACTCAACTCAAACATTAATAAAAACGCACATTAAGAAAGACGATCCAATCCAATCCATTTCAATTCATTAGAAACTGTCTGATCGAGTAAAAGTAAATTAACAGCTATGATAAACTCCCACCCTTTGGAAAAAAGCAGATTTTCCGACCCCAAAATAACACCAAGGCGTGCCTACTACTATGAATAAAGTAATTGTAGTTTGTTTGTTTGTTCCCCCAACACCCATCTTCCCTATAGCTTCCGTTGCTTATAGGTACCTCCTTGACGAGGTTGACTTCCATATGGTCTCTTCTTCTGCACGGTATCCTTCATTCCTGCCGAGATATTTATATCTACTCTTGGGGGTGCATCGAAACCGAAACTCTTGGCTACCTTGACTAAATCCAATTTTCCTACGTCGAAAACACTTCGGAGGGAGTGACTGGCGTAGGCTTGGAGGTAACTCTTGTAGCCCTCCTTTGCGCTCTTGTTCAAATAGTAGTTTTGTGCAATCAGTTTCGAGAGCTGACTTTGGATGTTGACGATTTTGGCGGCGGGGAATTCGAATTCGACAACGGGAATGCGGGCCGTCTTGAGATGGGTGAGGAAACCAACTTCAGATGGTTGGAGGAAGAGAAGGGAGCGGCCTTTTCCATCGTTACCTCGCGCAGTTCGACCAACACGGTGAATGTAATCGTTTGGGTCATCGGGAGGATCGAATTGGATTACCCAGTCTACATCGGGGATCTGTGGGATAAAAGTTAGTTATGTTTGAAGAAGAAAGCAGAGGAGAAAACTTACATCAAGACCTCTAGCTGCAACATCTGTACAGATGAGCGTACCTTGTTTAGCATTACAGAATTCAAAAAAGGTATTTGTACGTTTTTGTTGTTTCTGCTTGCCATGCAAGTCAAGAACTGGTAAATCAATATAATTCAGAAGTTCAGCGTGATATTTCACACAAGCGCAACTGGAGAAAAAGACAATAATCTTCTTCTTCAGGTTACGTTTGAGGAAAGAGAAAAGTAGTAAAAATCGTTTATCGGAATCGCAAACGACGTAACCTTGTTCGAGACCTTCAACTGTGCTATGTTCCTTCTTATTATCGACATTAATGTAAAGAGGTCCTGGTCGAAGAGATATTCTTGCGAGATCTTCGACTTTGGTGGTTTGTGTTGCGGAGAAGAGCATAGTTTGACGATCATCCTTGGGTAAAACCTTGACAACTTGCTTCATTTCATCTTCGAAACCAGCTTCCAAGATTCGATCCGCCTCATCGATAACCAGTGCCTTTAAGTTCTTGAAAATAAATCCTTGGGTGTTTTGTAAATGATCGAGAAGCCGCCCAGGTGTTGCGATCAATAGATTAACTCCCTTGACCAACTTTTCCGCCTCTGCTCTTCGGTTTGCTCCACCCATAACGATACCGTAAGTCTGCGAATGATGGGCCATGAGTTCTCTAGCAACTCCGAAAATCTGTAATGCCAATTCTCTGGTAGGAGAAACCACAATAACACCAGTACCATTTCTTGGTTTGAAGCGCAAAGAATGTAACATCTCAATCGCAGGTATTAAGAATGCTAATGTCTTTCCAGAACCTGTCTTTGCAGCACCGAGTACATCTCTTCCTGCCAACAATGGTGGAATACCTCTTCGTTGGATTTCGGTCATCGACTCGAATTTCATATCTTCGATGAGCGCTTTCATCGTTTTGTCGGAAAGATTGAGCTCGGAGAATTTTTCGACAGATGCATCTCCAACGGCAGGTAAAGATAAATGCTTGTGTTCGTCTTCGGCTTTCTTTTCTACCTCCTCCTCAACCTCCTCCTCTTCCTCCTCCTCGATCTCCTCCTCAACCTCCTCCTCCACCACAGGCTCCACTTCCACTTCCACTTCCTCAATCTCCATCTCTACATCACTCTCCGGAGCAACAATCTTCGCCTTTTTCTCAACCGCAGGCGTCACAGTCTTCGCATGAGAGCGCTTTCTCTTTTTTAATTCAACAGAACCCATTTTTAAATATAGAATGTGGTGAATTGATCAAAATGTGTTGTGCTGCTGAATAAATTTTTGGATGCGAAGTTGAACTTGACGAAACTGATTGGAAAATTATTTTTAACACGCTAAGATAAGTGTTGGTGTTAAGGCTTATCTATTGGTCCAGGCCGAGCTCTCCACGCTAGGGTAAAAGGGGTTACGATTTCATTCTTCTTAGTCGAATAAAATGCAAAAATTGTTGAAAACCATTTTGGAATATACCTAGTAGATATTGTATATACTAGGTAAACATTAGGGATATTCTCACCTCCATAGATCAGGATAGAAACTACTCGAGCATATTAAATACAACTACTAGGTATCTCAACCCCCTGTCCATCACAACCCACAAGTTCACTACTCATACTCGAGTACAATATATCATATCGCGCCTCCAATCCACCTCCTCTCCCATCTCTATCCCTCTCATATTTTCTCTACAAATCATACCTAGGAAGCTACACAAGATCCAATGCACACACACACACACACCCCTCCCTCCTTCCCTCCCTACTTATCATAATCCACAGAAAGACCTCCAGACAAAATTCATAGTTTTAATATACCATCAAATTAATTGATCTACCTAGGTACCGCCGTCCTTATTCTTTGTGTGTTTGATTTCTTTTATACAGGCCCGATCGATCTCCCCTCTATCAGCCTCCCACTTTCCACTTTCTATCCACCTCCCATCCATCCATCTCCATCCCTTCCTTCCCATCTCTTCCCATCCAACCCTTTCCTGTGCACCCCCCAATCTCCATCCCTTATACCCCTCATCCTCTCCCTTCCATCCCCAACAATGCAAAAAAAATAGTATCCGACTCAAGAAAAACCGACTCAAAAAGAGAAAAGAGGAGAAAGAGAAAAAAATGCTCCTCGAGTAAATGTGACTCAGTGAAAGGAGTAGCAGGTCACTTTGATGATCCTAATGCAAAAAAGAAAGTTACACATAACACCTTCCAACCCAATAATTCCCTCTTCGCCGAACGTGTTTTATTGTTAAACAAGTTTTCGACCAACCAATATATTCTCAACGCCTTTTATGAAAGCCCCCTCATTAATGATCATAACCTGCTCCACGCTGCCAGGGACTATTCATTTAGTTAGTTTTATGAAATCAATCATCACAAAATTCATAGATGTACTAACCTAGCATTGCTCTGGTTCTGATTCGGTTGTTTGAATCCGCCAGGTACAGGACTACCATTATTTTGTGATCCATATCCTGGTTGCGACACGTTTGATGCCGATTGGTTGTCTCGGTATGGAGCTGGTGATGCGTTGTTTGATCTATCTGATCCATACATCAAAGGAGCATTGCTATTGCGTCCTCCATCTTGATAATTTGGTGGTGGACCACGAGAGCCAGCTGCTGGGAAAAGAGGAACCGAAGGATCAATAGGTGAATGAGGTGCTTCTCTGACTGACGGGTTTGAATCTCCGTATGCTCCTGTGCCGGCCGTAGAAGGTGGAAGAGGCATATTTGCTGGGTTTCTCAAAGAATCCGATGACCATGAATCATTATCATCATCCAAATCGAGGTTGTGTTTATATCCGGCCTTGTCTCCTCTAGCAGTAGCTCCCAAAGCATCTAATTCAGTAGTCAAGCCTGTGTTTGACTTAATGAATGATGCACGATCATCGGTCATTGGCAAGTAACGACTATCTGGGTTCTTGCGAACAAAAGCATAGACTGTAGCAACTAAAACAAGGACGAGAAGGACCAAAGAGAATACCGCATTGATAATGAAGAAGACAACACCCATAACACCAGTGACGATACCCGGTTGACTGAAAATACCCGTGAAAACCAAAAGAAAAATGGTGTTTAAAAAGTTGATAGCACAAATGGCGATATTAAAACTGTTAGTACTCTTGTCCATCCATGGTCGAATAACACTGGCTCCGATAAGAGCAGCAGCTTCAATTAAAAGAAGAGCAATAGCTTGAACTGTAGATGCGTTTTGTCCAAATGCGATGAACATGCCCTTGATGACAATATAAAGCAAAGTTGGAAGGATGAAGTAGTAAGCTGTTGCACGAAATTGTACATATAGGAAACCCCATTTATTGAGAGCCGAAGGATCCGAGTAAAGAATATATGCTGGATTCTTGTGCATCATAACCGACCTTTTGGCGATGCGAACAACTTTCATAGCTGCCCAAGCGAGAGTTCCTGTCATACCAAAGAAGAAGAAGATGGCCAGAACAATCTCTGCAGGTGAGTCGTTTTGTGTAAATTCCCATAGACATAAAATGGTCATCTGAGGGTAACCAATGAGAACCATACGGAACATGATGCCCTTGAGGACGGTGAACCATCCATTACGGAAATCCAAGAACTTATCAGACTTCATCCACTTCATTTTGACTGCAAGTTCACAGAATCCCTTGAACATTGCAACAAATAAGATGGTAAAAACAATAAAGATACAAAAGAAAGCGAGACCAGTCAAGAACAAGTTGGTCGATTCGATTTCGGCACGGAATGCTACTCTCTTGATGCCTTTGACGAGATAAGATCCAGTTGTTGTAGTGGTATCGGCTCTCTTCGTCAAGACTTCATGTGCTCGGGTTAGAAGGTGAATGGTATGTTCAACGGATCTCTTTCCAATGGAACGCTTCTCGACTTGGACAGATGTAGTGGTCAAAGTATTCAAGAGTGTAGCTGGGGTTCCGCCGGTGGATTTTTGATACCAAGTTGCAATGCTCTGCATAAAATCAACCTCAATTATACCCATACTCCAATCGAAATTTTGGGTCCATGATTGAACGATAGGTGGGAGAGGGACAGCAGTGAGTCCAATCATGGCCTGAGCTTGAAAGTACCCAAAGAGTGACAAGGCATTGGATGCTACATGAGCAGCAGTATTCGAGTGTCCTAATCCAGATGTTACAGCGGATGCGACCAAAGCCAATCCAGCAATAACGGCGGTTGTCCACCCTACACCCTTTTGATCGACAGTTTGTCCGTTTGACAATTGAGCTTCGACACATGCCAAACTAACATCGGGGTTCGCTGTTCCATTGATGATAACCTTGACATTAGCATCCAAATCCGGTACTCCGTATGCGATTGAAGGAATGCTATCAACGGTAGATTGAGGCACTACGATATTAGATTGAATATCGATTTGACCAGTACTCATGGGGCACAGTCCAGAGAATCCAGAAGTACATGGATCGATGACCTTGTTCAAGATGGGATATCCATAAGCGGTAACTTCGACATCGAAAGTAACATTTCCTTGAATAGAAGAGACACCAACTACATCGAATGTGAAAGTTAAATTTCCTGGTGTGAATACAACATCGAATAAAGTCGCCGTGAAACTCGAATTGTCCTGACACGCGTTCAGGGACTTGGATTCAATTAATCGAGTTGATCCTGATGCGAAAGAGAAGAATGTAAATAATGTAGTCAAAAGGACCCATGGTGATGATGAAAATGTCGGTCGCATATTGAAAAATCGTATATTAAAAGGAGCCGTTTGAGGCTTTAATAGAATAAAGTTGGATCCGTAACACCCGAAGCCTTTTATTGTGCGAAGAGAGAAGAACCTTTGAACCTTTGAACCGGGTATTGAATCGTGAATCCCTCCTTTGATATTCCCTTAATTGCAACCCCTTTGTATTTGTCCTCCTTGGATGGGATTATTCAATTGATGATCGTGTTGGTTAATATCGTAAGGGTGTTTAGGATTTGTTTCGCCACTATTCTTTCTTCAATTCTCCAAAAAGGTCGACAAAGATCAATTATTGAATCATTGACAGATGGCTTTGGAATAAAATGATTAGCGACCGTAAGTTTCGTAGATCCAGCTCACGAGATGATGTTGTTGTTGTTGTTGTTGTTGTTAACGAGGGAAATGTATCTCTGCGAAGGAGATGAAGTGACGAGTCTGTCGAAGATGAGAGAAATAATGAAAGGAGGTCGACGACTAGGTGAAAGTCGGGTCTGTTGGTGGTCGTCGAGTAGAAAGTTTAGGAGGTACTCTTGGGGGTTGGGTGTGGGTGTGGGTGATTTGTTGTGTGTAAAAAAGGTGAAATGAAATAGAGGAGAAGGCGGAGGGAGGATGGAGGAGGTGGAGGCGTAGTTCGTAGTTCGCAGTAGTTCGTAACAGAAAGGTAAGATCAAGGTTTATTAGATGCGGTACAGGTACGGTAGATGAAAGAGGTGAATGTATTCCTTTTCGTCCTAGTGGGTTTATGGGTTGATGAATAGGATTTGTTGTTAGGGGAGGAATGAAGGGTCTGATACCCCAATGAAGTTATGTTGAATAGAGAAACCTTGTATTGGGATAAATAAAATGCTAATAACAATTCATTCAAGAAACACACCATTGACTATTAATTAATCAATCAATCAATTAAAAAGCCAACTGATTGACTGAAAGATTCTTTAGTTTCCACCTCAAAGAGAGAGAGAGAGAGAGAGAGAGAGAGAGAGAGAGAAGCTGTACTTTGATATTAGAGTGATTAATCGGAGGTGGCTGAGTTGAATATGAAATGAGATGAGATGAGATGAGATGAGTATAATGAGTTTATCGTATTATTCGGAATGTTCACATTCGTATACAGTTACTGAAGAAGTGAGTTGTGAAATGTATTGATTGTATGGTTATATCAATGGATCATACATATCAAAATGAATGTCATTATATAATTTGAGATGGATTTCTCTGTTTGCCGTTTTCAGTACAATTATTACTATTCTTCCCTTTCTCTCTCTCTCTCTCCTCTTACTGGACTCGCTAGACCAATTTTGAAATGATAAATTTCATTCACTTCTTGGGATATGGATGGGCTCTTTCAAATTCAAGATTCCAGGGGTTAATATAAAAATAGACCAGGGTAAAAATACTTCCATACAAGTAGTGATTAACAAGATGACAGGGGAAGTGAAGCATAAGCGTATGCAGAATGAGTTAACGAAACTCTGGATGCATGGAGATCTTTTTTGAAAATGGAGTATTAAAATGGATCAAAGTATGAATTTGAATTGGGTTCATAAATTCATGGATCTATTTTCTCATTAATTTTGAGCAAGTTCATTGTTTGAATGAAGTGATGTGTGGAATGAGAATCTGATCAATGGATTACGTATGTGTTTGTTAGAGCTATTCTTATTACGAGTTCCCCTAAACCATTCAACCGTCAGATTTGTGTTATGTTATAGGTGTTGATGTTGATTATATATTTATATATTCATAATATAATTTACAATTTCCTTTCATATATTGACTGAATGAATCAGCAAAGTACTCGAGTTATGTTTCTTTGCCTATCATCAACCTCAAATTTTAAAATAAAATAAGACTCTTTTCTCCAAATGTCTCTCTTCTTCTTCTCGTATTTCGTATATATTATTATCCAGATCGGATCTCCTTCATATCACCATATCACCATATCATATCACCATAAACACCCCTCAATTTGTCTTGGCATACAAGTATCAATTGCAATAAAAAGTTCATCTGTCTCTATCTCCCGACACTCTTTCAAGTTTCCCCATCAACATCAACACAACATCAATATCAGTATCAACATCATTATCAACAGCCATCCAACCAACTACCTACCATTCACTACCACTCACAATGTTCAGCCTCTTGAGAATCACCTACCAAAATTAGCATCAAGACAACCAACCATGATCTATCCGTATCCTCTGGAGTCTGGAGATGCCGGATGATCATATCACTATACAAGTTTTCTGATCATCATGCAATATGATATATATGCAACATCTCATGCATCATGACATCCATGCCATGGTTTCTACTAGAAGACATAAATGAGTACCAACAACAAACAGCAACCTACCAGCCAACCCACCAACTATATCTCTATCTTAATCAATTGAATTCATTTATCATTCTTTTCATTCTTATTATTCTTCCTATTCTACTAGAATTCATACTTAAAAATATCATCCATACCAATGACTATACTCCGTACACAGCACAGCCTCCATTCAAGGATATCAAATAAGCATAATCGTATTCGAAACTTCATATCATTTTGTTTCAAAAATATACAGTATTACGAATACAGGTATATATCTGAGACTTCGGATACAAAGATATCCACGAGTCAAAAATGTTCTGAGTTTGTTTTGGGTTTTGGTTTGATCTTTTTGGAATATTCCTTTTAGATCTTTTGATTGAGTATCATCGACTAGTATCGTTTCCGAATGAAATTTTCTGGTGAAGGAATTCTGCTTTCTGATTCATAGAGTGAGTTATTTGGGTTTGGTGTATTTTTGGAATGCTTGAGTAGAAGATACCTAGTAAGATAACTTGCTTAAGTCTTGGAGGAGAATTATAAACTAAGTAATATACTTGTAGTGTTTTGTATACAACGAGTAATTCCTTTATGAATAGCGATCAATTCAAAAATATTCTCAAACTCTATCATTAAAACTTTCTATACAGTATTAATTTTATTTTCATTCTATTGTTAGCTGTTATCCAGGTCTCATCTCATTCTATCTACCTCATTACCTCACTACCTCATTACCTACACTCTCCCCAATCCAATCCAATATCAAACCCAAAATGTTTCTACAATAGTAATCTAAACATCTAAACATCGAAATACAATCCTTCTTTCATCACATCAAAACCCTTTCCGAAAGTTCCGAAAGTCTCTTCTATAATTCCCTTTTCTTATTCTCTTCTCTTATACTCATAGTATCTATTTCTATTTCTATTTCTATTTCTATTTTGCTTCTCTATTGTACTCAAGTATTTATTCTAAGTCTCTTACTCGAGTACTTAGATGGGAAGTGGGAAGTAGTATTGATTGATATATAGGTAGCTGGTTATATATTATATTATATTATATTCAATCGTTTCCAAATAGGAAGCCAAGCTACTTCCTCCACTCATGTATCGGTATATATCTAGTTATCAGATAAATATACCCAGTATCTCTCTCTCTCTCTATCTCTCTTCTATAGTGGAAAAAGATAGTTAATAAAATCAATGATCATTTCCCCCCCTTAATATACAAACCTATATTACACCACATCATCCCCCACCATTACAATCAGTCATCACTTGACAGCCATAGATAGCTTCAATGGATTCAAAAAAGACTAGAAAGAAAGGCCTTCATCACCTTGGATATAGCTGCATCGATACAATACGATACGATACAATACGATGTTGAAGAGCATCGCTGTCTGGATTTGCATTTCGCTGTATGGTATGGTATGGTATGGTGTGGTATGGTGTGATTAGATGTGCTATCTTGAATAGGCGAGTGATACATATATATGAACCGTCGTTTATATTAGATGCTAGAAGTACTGGTAGCAAGTGAAGCCGACTTGCAATAGGGTTGTGGTGCCGATTTCTGGTCTGGTTAATTGATGTTGCGATACATTCTTTTCCGGCTCTCAAAGAAAGCGTCGAATTCGAATGCAACTCTACTCTACAAAACTCCTGGGCTTCGATATACCCGAGTATTCATTCATGCTTTTATTCTGATACTGTACAAGTCTAGCTGTGATGTGATGTGATGCTGGAGGAGTACAATTTACTTGTCGAATTGAATATGATTGCACCAAGTTGTTGAATGAATCATATTAGTTAGCTATCATATCATATCATATCATATCATATCATATCATGGCGGATTGGCATATTTAATTTTGTTGATATGATATGATATGATATGCATGGCCTCGCGTATACATGTATTGGCAGAGGAAAGTTCCTCTCTTATGATATTACTGGTATGATAGAAAACGTATTTTGACTTTTGGTTTTTGGGTTCGATAGATTAGATAGTTTCTATATCTGCGAGAAAAAAGGAAATTAGGAATATTTAAATTGGTTTTATAATTATGATGCGAAAACCCGGGGAATACAATATCTATTATCTATAGTGGCTTGAGACGACGGATGGATGGATGGATGGATGGATAGATACTAGTTTTTGGAAGTGTATATAAATAAACACGACGGAGATATTAGGAGATATTAGATCGGAAGCACTTATTTTCTGCAGAGAATGTGCGACAGACTATGCCCAAAGTTGAGTTCACTGCCTTTGATATTGTAGCGAAATATAGGCTCACAAAGTTTAGATCTTTAAATACAACACAAATCACATAAAAGAAAGAGATTCCATTCGCCTAATCCAATTTATTCCACCATACTATCACCAATCTCCCTAACTCTCTCCCCATCCGAGTCCTCTCCCCATCATCCAGCACATAGTCCGATATCAAACTCCCACAACTCACAAACCCTCAAACCCCCTCGCAAGCTCTTCCAAGATATCGCATATCTTCTCGGGCGCTGATAAATTCGGACTGTGTCCGGTGTCTACATCTTTGACAATCCACTCCACTCCCGTTCCCTTGATCACCATGTCTTGAATCTCGAGAGGGATACCTGTATCTCTGAGAGTGCGGACGAAAGCGATTCTCCCCTTGAACGCCGCGGAATCCCAGGAGGCGCGTGGACAGGGACTATGCCATGATGCATAGCTGGGACATAGTGTTGACATTACGATGGCATCCTGAAACTCTTTCGGCGTCACGTCGCCATACAAAGGTGGAGCAGGGTCCTCACAAGTAAGGATACCAGCAGCTTTCTAAGCAACCATTAGAACCAAATCAAATGGAAAGAAGAGTGTGACACAACGAAATATCACTTACGTTAGGAGCTATGTGAGGTGGTAGTTGTCCACCGAGAGCTGCAACAATATCTCCTCCGTCTCCTCCTTTAATCAAGAGGGAGGCGATATAGATCTGTCCCAAAACAGAAGTTCCTTTACCAGCCTGAGCACGTTCTGCCTTGCCCAAACCCAAAGCGGCCGCACTTCCTGGAACACCGCTACAATAATTCGGACAGTTAGTAGGGGTCTTCACAAACACAAACGGATGTGAGTAAAAAAAGGCGTCAATAATCTCTTACCTGTAAGAATGCATTATCATGATCACATCGTGTTGTTCGGTATCCAGGATTGGAAGAAGCATGTGGTTGCGCACATAGTCAGCATCGTCTTGTGTAGTGACATTCTTGTTACTTCCTGTACTGGGGAGAATGGCGGAGTAGACGGGGTGGCCGCGGGTGAGGAGTAGGTGCGATAGGTAGCCGTAGTGGGCGGGGGATTGGGAGGCACCGGGTACTATGACGAATACTGTTTTAGACGCGGGACGAGGCATGATTGTAGGGTTGTGAGGAGGGTTGTGGATGGATGGATGGATGATAGTTGGAATAGAATAGAAGATTAATCAGTGAGGTGAAGTGAAGTCAAATTTCGATGAAGTAGAGAAGTCGAGAAGGAGGGAACAGAGCACACTGTTTATCTTTTATCTTATTATGCTCACAACAATGCTGTGCCTCAAACAGTTTCCAACCTGATTCCAACTCGATTCCAACCAAGTTACAAATTGTAACCAAGTAACCAATCAACTAAACTAAATTAAATCAACGGAAATTCTAAGCCTCAGATACAGATACCTGATCCTCTATACGTACTGGTATTCACTTGGAATAATCATACGACTTACAAGCTTACAAGTTTGTCACGGTATAATGAAACTAGTAGGAGGGTAGATAATATTAATACTAATAGTAATAGAATTTTCGATTGTGAATATCCCTATTGATAGAATAGGCAAGATATACAACTATTAATTAAGGGAGTTATTTGTATATATCCGAGTAATTAATAATTATATACTGGAGTATAGACATCAATTATTAGTCTCAGCTTCGAGTCGCTTATTTATAGACTTTAGTTTTCGTTAAAAATATTCGAGTTTATATACTCGTATATATATATATATATTTGAGATAATTAATATATTGATAGAATATTAATAA